AATCAATAAAATTTTAACACAAGGTTTATAACCACTAAAGGAAGGTTGGGATTGATTTTGGGGGTTATGGTCCCAACTGTTTAGGAATTAGGGGCCAAAAAAGGGGCCCAAATAAGCATTTTTGTAGTTTCCAGACAATAACTTGTGTTTAAAGTGTATGAATCTCTCTGAAATTATATCACAAGTTTCCATACAACAAAGGGATGGTTAGGATTGACTATGGGGGGTTATGGCTCAAACCATTTCGGAATTAGGAATTAGAGGCAAAAAAGGGGGGGGAAAACAAGTTTTTTTCTGGTTAAAGGACAATTAAGACAATTTAAAGCAGTCTAAGGGAGGTAATCCAATCCCAATTTAAAACAACAATGTTTGATTACCTCCCTTACACTGCTTGTAAATTATGTATTAAGAAATGAGGATTGTCTTGAGGTGATTAGCTGTCAATTTATTTTTAAAAGTTACTATTAATTAATATTAATTTTAGCCACGACTATGCATGTCATTTTATATTTTAAGACTTGTATGATGTATTTAAAAGGGTAATTATGGTTGCAAATTTTATTAAAATTTGAATTGAGATTATGACTATATCTTGAGGGAATGATTTTTTTTTTTTGGAATAAGGGAATGGGGGAGGTGAAAAAAAATTGGTTGGGTGGGGGGGGGGGGGGGGTTAAATAAGAATTTGGGGGGACTATTTTTTCTTATTTCAGATTTCAGAAATTAACAAGAAAATTTTCTTTAAATATTTTTTTGGGGGGGGGGGTTAATATTCAACAGGATAGTGTATTGCACAAAAGCAAAAAAATGGGGTCAATTTTATTTGGGGGGGGGGGGGGGGGGGGGAGGGGGTCAATTTGCAACAGCATAGTGTATTGCACAAAAGCAAAAAATTGAATATAAATTCAAATCATATAACCAATTTTTAAGTTCTTTGACTACAGTTATTCTGTGTCAGAAACCTATTATGTGTCAAATATTTAATTACAATCCAAATTCAAACCTGTATCAAGCCTGAATATTGTGTCCATTTTGGCCCCAACTTTTCAGGGTTGGACATCTGCGGTCGTATCCAGCTGCGCTCAGCGAAGCAATTTATTTTCAATTAAAGTAAACAATGTCCTTTTCAAATTTCGTTCTGAAAATAAATTCAAAATTAAATTCAATTTCATTTAAGTGTAAGTAAATATATGCTTTGATAGACTGACTTATCCCAAACAAAACGTGGGATCAACCAATATGGAAATGATGGCTGTTTAATTTGAGAAAAAAAATAATTCTGTAAAGGATTGCCCGGCTTATACTGCAAGCAGTGTGCCTACAACTGTGGTCACTATATACTTAGTAAATCTAGAACATGTATCAAATGTAACTTGAAGGCATATTACATAATAGGGACAATGTTTATAACGTTTAGCAGCAAACTTCTTTAAATGATTTTAAATTATTGACATCAAAAATTCAATCTTCATCATGTTAAAAAATGGTAACTCCATGGCAAACGACCCAAAAATCATGCTTCACAAAAGATTCCGCTTCGCGAGGTAGTAAAGAAATTACCTTTTTATATTGGTATGACGTTGGCGTCGTGGTCGTCCGAAGACACATTAGTTTTCGCACTATAACTTTAGTTTAAGTGAATGGATCTCTATGAAATTTTACCACAAGGTTCAATACCACAAAAGGAAGATTGGGATTGATTTTGGGGGTTATGGTACCAACAGTAAAGGAATTAGGGGCCAAAAAGGGGCCAAAAATAAGCATTTTTGTAACTTCCAGACATAACTTCTGTGTTAGTGTATGGATCTCTCTGACATTGTACCACAAGGTTCCATATCACAAAAGGAATGCTGGGATTGATTTTGGGGGTAATTGCCTCAAAATTTTAGGAATGAGGGGCCAAAAAAGGGGCAAAAAACATGCATTTTTCTAGTTTCATGACAATAACTTGTGTGTAAGTGTATGGATCTTTCTGAAATTGTACTACAAGGTTCCATATCACAAAAGGAAAGCTGATATTGAGTTTGGGGGTAATTGCCGAAACGTTTAGGAATTGGGGGCCAAAAAGGGGCCAAAAATAAGCATTTTTCTAGTTTCCAGACAATAACTTGTGTTTAAGTGTATGGATCTCTCTGAAATTGTACTGCAAGGTACCATACCACAAAGGGAAGGCTGGGATTGATGATGGGGGTAATTGCCTCAATATTTTAAGAATTAGGGGCCAAAAAGGGGCAAAAAACAAGCATTTTTCTAGTTTCAGGACAATAACTTGTGTGTAAGTGTATGGATCTTTCTGAAATTGTACTACAAGGTTCCATATCACAAAGGGAAAGCTGGGTTTGAATTTGGGGGTAATTGCCCTAAATGTTTAGGAATTTGGGGCCAAAAAGGGGCCAAAAAACATATTTTTCTAGTTTCCAGACAATAACTTGTGTTCAAGTGTATGGATCTCTCTGAAATTGTACTGCAAGGTACCATACCACAAAGGGAAGGCTGGGATTGAGTTTGGGGGTGATGAATCATAAGGGGGTTCAAAAAATTTGGGGGGGGGGGGGGTTCCTTTTTTTTATCTTTTAAAATTTTCCATTTTCAGTTGGTTATTTCTGATTTATATTTAAAAGCAAATAATAATGATATGGTAGGAGATACACACCAAACAGGATGTGTAAATTATTATATAATAAGTATAATAAGTATTGTGCAATAGCAAGAAATTTTCAATTGCACAGTATTGCACAATAGCAAGAAATCTTCAATTGCACAGTATTGCGCAATAGCAAGAAATCTTCAATTGCACAGTATTGTGCAATAGTAAGAAATATCCAATAGTACAATATTGCGCAATAGCAAGAAATTGTCAATTGTACAGTATTGGGCAATCGGGGTAATTGCCCATAACGTTTAGGAATAAGGGGCCAAAAATTAAGCATTTTTCTAGTTTCCAGACCAGAACTTGTGTTCAAGTGTATGGATCTCTCTGAAATTGTACTGCAAGGTACCATATTACAAAGAGAAGGCTGGGATTGATTTTGGAGGTAATTTCCTCTAAATTTTAGGAATTAGGGGCAAAAAAGGGGCCAAAAAACAAGCATTTTTCTGGTTTCAGGACAATAACTTGTGTGTAAGTGTATTGATCTTTATGAAATTGTACTACAAGGTTCCATATCACAAAGGGAAAGCTGGGTTTGAGTTTGGGGGTAATTGCCCTAAAGTTTAGGAATTTGGGGCCAAAAAGGGGCCAAAAAACAAGCATTTTTCTAGTTTCCAGACAATGACTTGTGTTCAAGTGTATGGATCTCTCTGAAATTGTACTGCAAGGTACCATACCACAAAGGGAAGGCTGGGATTGAGTTTGGGGGTGATTAATCATAAGGGGTTCCTTTTTTTCTTTAAAATTTTCCATTTTAAATTGGTTATTTCTGATTTATATATAAAAGCAAATAATAATGATATGGTTTGAATAGGTAAATTAAAATTTTTTGAGTTCTTAGACCACATTCATTCTGTGTCAGAAACCTATGCTGTGTCAAATATTTAATCACAATCCAAATTCAGTGCTGTATCAAGCTTGAATGTTGTGTCCATACTTGCCCCAACTGTTCAGGGTTCGACCTCTGCGGTTGTATCAAGCTGCGCCCAGCGGAGCATTTTATTTTAACTTATGGAACTATATTTGTAGAACATGTGCAAAGGGAAATGATTGTTGTCTGAAACAAGGATCCAGAAACTTTTTGAGATGACATAAAAGTTGGGGTCCTTTGAAAAAAAACCACAATACAACTTTGTTGATGCCCTGAATCTAGCATTCATACTAGATTCAGGGCATCAGCAAAGTTGTATTGTCAGTTTAACAGCATTTACATGCAATTTCTCATCGTTTTTCTAAAAACATTCGAGAACAATTTACAGAATGCAACAGTGTCAAATTGAAATGATCTTATTCACATTAAACTGTAAATTTCTTAGGTATCAGCCACAATACTTTCGTTTTTGAGAAAAGAAATAAAATCTGGAAGTTTCAGTTAATCATGAATTATGAGTGGTTCCTGATTCAATTGCAGGTTTGTTCTGTTCATCAAATGTCAGCAAATCTGTGTATTTTCAATTTTATTACTTGTGAAAGGGCTTGACTATTACTGATGATAGTTTCATTTGTTTAATTTGGCATGAAACCAGTTAGCATCTGAAGATTAGTTGTCTTATCTGGGAAGGCACTTGCGGGCATGCATATACATAATAAATTAAGCACATGCGAAAAATACTTTTTTCTATGTAATTTGATAAAAGTTTTAATTTTATTTTTAAATCAAAATCGATGATTGTCTTTGCTGAATAGTTATTAAATAATGAAGTGGCTTGTCATGGAATTACTTTATAATATTAGTTCTGAGGTACTACTGTCAGGTATGAGAACACAGGTAAAAAGTGATGAGTGATCATTAGGGAATATCTCCCGGAATGGCAGTTTTATTGCAGGAAAATGCATTGCAAAACCAAAATTAGTGCAAATCCCCAGATTTAAAAACTCAGTCTCAATGAAATGACCAAAATTATTTCTTAAAACAAAACAATTGTGACCAAAGTCCCAATGAACTATTTTGGTCATTTACATTTCAGATTTGGTCATGTCCAGCAAATATCACCTGTTTCCTGACCCTTGGCCTGGAGCCTATAGTATGAAACAAAAACATGTCAATATTTACAAATGCCTGATTATAATGGGTTACAACTGTGATGCTATAACACGTTTGTTTCAATTGAGTATAGTTCTTAGACATGTCAAACTAAAATTGTAGATTGATATTTTATTCATTTGTATTATTAAAGTGTAAAGAAGGGTGGCACAGAAATAGCTGGTTGGACTGTAAGATTTTCAAAAAAAAAAATTATTGTTCATCTATTTGGTCTGACAAGTGGAAGACTCATCATGCAACCATATCTTTATAGACTTCTTCGATAGATCATTTACAGATATAATTAACTTTTGATATATATTACAGTGAAATTCTGTACCCAAAGGAAGCCTGCAGTCCACATAGTGGTGTTTCTGGAGAACATCTGAGTAAGGGTAGAGATTATGTGGTAAGTTTTTTTGATAATGTTAAATAAAAAAACATGCCTTACTTTGACCTATAATGGTTTACTTTTATAAATTTTGACTTGGATGGAGAGTTGTCTCATTGGCACTCATACCACATCTTCTTATATCTACTTACAATCACTTCACTATACTGATTCATGTAATAATTGGCAAAGTAATCCCAAGGTTTGATTGGGGTTTTGAAACATGGTCACGTGGACTTGTTGTGAATGTTAGGAAAACTATCACTATGGGACTCTGTTGGGGGGATGTATAAATATGCAGCCCTGACAACTCATGTAGGGGAATGCCATGCTCTTTTCATGTTATGAAACCCTTTCAACAACTTTTTGTGGGGTATATACAGTGTTGTGCAATAAGTACAATCTGTAGTTAACAAGTAGATACAGTCTGGGGTTAAAGTTTTTTACACATTGATTACTTTGTCTAAACTTCATAGAATTTTATGAAACTAAGGTAAAAATTTTTAAAGTTAAGAGATAATTTCTGAAGCAAAATTTTGAAAATATTTTTATGCCCCCACCGTACGTCCCAAAATTGGTTTCTGTTCTCTAACTTTAGTTTGCCTCAACCAAATGTTATGAAACTTATACACAATGCTTATTACCACAAAACACAGATCAAGTTTGAATTTTGGTGGCATCACTTTTACCTTCTAGAGTTATGCCACTTTACAAATGATAAATTGCTGAATTTTTCGTTTCCGTTCTCTAACTTTAATTTGTTTCAACCAAATATTATGAAACTTGTACACAATTCTTATTACCACTAAACACAGATCAAGTTTCAATTTTGGGGGCGTCACTTTTACTGTTCTAGAGTTATGCCCCTTTACAAATGGAAAACTTCCTGAAATATTTTTTTCTGTTAACTTTAGTTTGGCTCAACCAAATGTTATGAAACATTTGCACAATGCAAGTGGGGGCATCATCTGTGTCCCATGGACACATTCCCCATTTAATTTTTCATTTTTCAGTATTTTACTGACAGATGGGCTTAGTTTTTTGCGATAATATTTACAGACAATATTGGATAACATTTTTTTGACTTTATAAATGGACTGTTATGAAACTTTGACAGAAGCTAATCTTCAAGATAAAAATATAGCATTAAAAGGAAAAGAATTGTTTTTTTAATTTTGTATTTTTGTGCCCTTAATAAAAAACATTTTCATAGAAAGATACAAGTAGGCACAACTGTGCACTGCAAAAATGATCAGCAATACAAGATTTATAAAAATAGATTAACTGATTGCAATAAAGCTAAAATTTATTTCAAAATGACATATCTTTACCAGTTGATTGATTTAGGCTCTTAGGTGCCTCTTGTTTTTAATAGAAATTGTGTCCAAAACAAACTTACATTTTGGTCCAAAATCACTTGTCCCAAGTTTTGATGGCTGCCTTGAACTGTCCCACTAGTTTCAAGATTGGCTGGATCACAGCTCTGATAAGGCTTTATTTTAGCTATAAACAGCAAACCTAGTTTTTTTTTAATCTGGGGATTCCTTTTCCATGCTTGGCGCTAAATTAATTCATTTGCCTTTGAATTATATGCCTAAGCAGTAGATTTCACGTTCTTGAATTTATAGCATGTTTGTTTTTCTTTGTATATACATTCAAATTCACATAACCTATTTGATGACATTAGTGATTTCTTCACGAAATTTGGATTTTAATTATTTAGTAACGTCGCAAAAATTATGCATAAAAACATTTGGATGCATTTAAATCTGTCTTTAATCCTGTATAGCATGCCCTTAAACTAACCTTATATTGGCAAAAATATATTTTCACATTTTTGTCTTCAATCATCCTTGAAATTGCTCATTTCATCAAATTTATATACTTAAAATTTATTTCATCTGCCACTTTCATATGCATTCGCATTTACTGAAGGTAGTTTAGTACACTTTAGGCTAGATTATTAATCTGTTTGCTAGCTAGTGAACATCGATTTAGGAATATAGGGTCAAGCTGGTGAACCTAGATTCAGGAAAAACTAGTATGAAGCTAGTTGACCTAGGTTATCCTGGTACAGAGATGTAAAAATCATTTCAAAGAATTTTTTTGATTTTAACAAAATGAATGATTTATTGAACAGATGTGGAGATTTACTCAGTCTAGAGTGGTTACAAGAAAAGATATAGCATCTGTAGTCAAGGTAAAATAAATTATTGATAAAAAATATAAAAACAAGACATATCATAACACTAAAGTTTTAAAAGAAGCAAATGTACAAAGAAGAAAAGTTTAGGTATAACTTTTATTCAAACATTGAGGTCTGAAATTTTTTCTCCAAATCAATGTTATAAAAAGAATCTGTAAATTTAGAAATTATTAATGCAAATCCTTGACATCTGAAAAAAATAGGAAATCTAATTAATGCTATTTCAAAAATTATATGGAGGAAAGTCAGTACTGAAATGACGAATGCTAATTTTTATTATTACAAACCTGATACAGTCGCATTTTTTACAATGATAAATACTTTGCAATGATTTCTGAATTTACAGTAACTAATCTCAGTATTTGAAAAAAAAATATACATGTAAGTTATACAATTATGGATGAAACAAAACTAATAGTATAATGAAATGATTTGGGCATTCAATAATTAATGGGTTTTTTGGAGTGGTTTTTTAGGGGGAAAGGGGGAGGGTATTTTGGCCATTCTTATATTTTCCCAAATTGTTAGTAGTTATTTTGTTTAACTTATATCCTACCATTTTCTAAAAAGTTGCCAGCAGAAGATGTGAAGGACATTCTTGAACAGATGTCACGTATCAGAGCCAACTGTGGATGGGAATTCTTGTTCCAGTATGATCATGATTTTGTTTCAAGGTAAGAGTTTTACTTTATTGCAATCCAAGCAAAAATGCTTATACGGGGAGGGGAGGGGGGTTTGCAGACAGGTCAGTGTCACCTTATTGTTTTAGATAAACTTTGTCCCCTTTATTCAATTTTATTGTTTAGATTTGAGTGTTTGAATTTAGCATGAGATGTTCTGTTCACATGGAAAATTGAATTCTTGTTATTATTTTGTTGAAGTGTGGTGCCTTGGAACATCTAAGGACAAACATTGCACAAGTTATCCATTGAATGGGTTATTGTTGTTGCTAATGTTGATGTTAAAACATCTAACTTAATCATTTTGGTGAAAAAATATGCAAATCCTCAATATTTATTAAAGTGATTTATTGACGGTATAAACAAGAGAATTGTTCATGTGGAAAAGGTGGTTTGGATAATAAAAACTCAGTTTTAATTACCGGTAGTAAAACATCTTTCATACATAAACTGTTAGTGTATTAATTGTTATCTCTTAATTATGCCCCTACTTTGATGGAGGGTTTGGTGACTGGTTCGTGTCTGTCCATCCATCAGTCCCATGAAAATTTTTTCACACTTTTCTTTGAAACAGAGCAATACTTCATACTTGTTTTCTTTACGTGTTAAATTGAATAAAAGTGCAATGAAAATTAAGGCAATAGAAACATGATCTACTCACATGAGCTTTTTTATATTAGTTTTTATATACAGCTCTTTCTGCTCACATAAACAGTTTTATATAAGTTTTTATTTACAGCTCTTTGCAACAAGTTGAATAGAATTTGTGAAAATAGTGTTTTTGGTTATGATATTACAGGAATCCTGAAATAGTACACAGACAAAAAGCATTCTGGGATTCAAAGTATCAGATTTTATGCAAACAGTTGAAAATTCCAAAGGAACATGAAAAGAAATTTAAAGATAAAGGTAACAGTTATGTAACAAAACAGGGATCACCACTGGCTATTTTATGGTGCAGCTCCTCCACCCTTAGGTACAAGTTATGTAACAAAACAGGGATCACCACTGGCTATTTTATGATGCAGCTCCTCCACCCTTAGGTACAAGTTATGTAATGAAACAGGGATCACCACTGGCTATTTTATGGTGCAGCTCCTCCTCCCTTAGGTACAAGTTATGTAACAAAACAGGGATCACCACTGGCTATTTTATGGTGCAGCTCCTCCACCCTTAGGTACAAGTTATGTAATGAAACAGGGATCACCACTGGCTATTTTAGGGTGCAGCTCCTCCACCCTTAGGTACAAGTTATGTAATGAAACAGGGATCACCACTTGCTATTTTATAGTGCAGCTCCTCCACCCTTAGGTACAAGTTATGTAATGAAACGGGGATCACCACTGGCTATTTTATGGTGCTGCTCCTCCATCCTTAGGTACAAGTTATGTAATGAAACAGGGATCAACACTGGCTATTTTATTGTGCTGCTCCTCCACCCTTGGGTACAAGTTATGTAATGAAACAGGGATCACCACTGGCTATTTTATTGTGCTGCTCCTCCACCCTTGGGTACAAGTTATGTAATGAAACAGGGATCACCACTGGCTATTTTATTGTGCTGCTCCTCCACCCTTAGGTACAAGTTATGTAACAAAACAGGGATCACCACTGGCTATTTTATGGTGCTGCTCCTCCACCCTTGGGTACAAGTTATGTAATGAAACAGGGATCACCACTGGCTATTTTATGGTGCTGCTCCTCCACCCTTGGGTACAAGTTATGTAATGAAACAGGGATCACCACTGGCTATTTTATGGTGCTGCTCCTCCACCCTTGGGTACAAGTTATGTAATGAAACAGGGATCACCACTGGCTTGATCACCATTTCTTGAATTTTCATCATTAGTCTGGATTTTCTGACAGAATAAACCCTGAGTTTTCAGATAAATATTAGATAAGCTTGAAAATTAATTCTTATTAAGTATTATTTTAAAATAATATATTTAATTTTCTTTTTTATTTGTCATAAAAGTTAGAAACCTACAGTCATATGTATGTAAGAGTTTTTTAAAAGGTACAATTTATAAAGTTTATAGATATTTTTCAATAGTTAGTAAAATTAATTTTTAAACTTTACCCTTCACTTTTACCAAAATATGGCCTTGAATTTCAACTTTATCATATATTATTAAAAAAGGTCACAATTTGATTTTTAAATGGAAGCTGCTAAGTGAAACAAATCTCTTCATGAAAGTACATTATAGGCTTCAAAGTCAGCAAATTTTTGAGATGTTGTCGAAAAAGTTGGTGTTGTGCATTTTCAGGACTTTTAACAAACCTTTAGAAAAACCTTGGCAGCAGCCTATAATCTAAAATGTTTTGTAACCAAAAGGTGCCAAGGTTTATATTAAATCCCTAGATACAATGTCTTCTGGATTGGGGGCTGTGGCCAAAGTTTACATTTCCAAAAACTGTTAAAAATTATGGAAAAATTGGACCAAACCTGATATTACAACACAAATAATGCATAATTAATAGGCATAACTTTGCAGTTCACAATGTGATGTGGCAAAAATAAGTTATTTTGTATTAATATTTATTTCTCTTATGGTTGCAGCCTGTTATCTATTTCTTGCCTGAAGAGATACTTCTCGTATCACACTGCACGGAGTGTGATATGAAAAATGTGTTAATTTAATTGGCCTATCAATCATGAGATGATATTTCGACATTTCCATTGGCTATTTATTAGATTATTGATGACTTCAAAGGTTAAGACAACGTACATTTCCTCCATGGCAACTGACATGTGATTTCTTCAATAAGATACAAAACACTCACACTTTTCCCCTTGAAAATATTCTTTTTGTCAATTTTTTTACATTACAAAAAGTTTTAAAATGTCTGATGTTAAAGTTCGACACCAGAACAGGACATATGACGTCATACTGGTATGTGCAAAAGACTAGATAAATGTTTCGTGGATTTTTTTATTTAGGATAATGAGTGTTAACCATAAAAGAAATAAGTTTTACAACTAGTGAGAATTGGATATGGCTTGATATAGTATAACAAATAATTGGTTAGGCAAAACTGAAAGTTTAGTGACATTTGACATTGACATACACATGATACAATAAGGTCAATTTATCTACTGAAAGTATTGCTCATCTGTCTGAAGAACTCCAGTAACAAATGCAACTATACACAGTTATTGCTGTAGTGTTTAGCTCACCTGGACTAAGCATTGGAGTATCTAGTTTGAAAAATGTATAGGATAGAACATAGTGCTAAAATGCAAGATTTGTCTTTTCTTGAAAACCACTTGATAGATAAAGAAAATCTGACACGAGCAAAAATGTTGAGAATAATATGATCTACCTACTGTTCATTCAAATCAAAACTGTCAGTCAACTTCTTATAGGAGTTATTACCCTTATACTCCTCAGGAACTTTTTTATTGGAAACATCATAATTTTGATTTGTATCCAACTATTAAGAATGTTGATTTGGGAAAAAAAAGTTATTTAATGCAAAATATATTTCAATCTGCATTTCTAGATTCAGGTATACCTGGTTTGGATAAACCCACAAGGAGAAGGAGAAATTCCTCAAAGGGATCACCAAGGAGGAAAAGAACATTGAGTGGCCGTTCTGTGTCAGATCACAGTGACATTGAACCAGATATCAAAATGGACTCTGAAAATAGTGCAGATGAAGATATTCCTACTCATCATGAACCAATGGAAGTAGCTGAAGTAAATCATGTGACTAATGGATCAAATATTCCGTCATTAACTAATTGTGATAAAACAATTTCTAAGCCAGTGTCTAAAAAATTTGATGAAAAGAGGACCGAGTTATTGAATTTTGTGTGTGAAAAACTACAAAGTAGATTTATTTTAAGTATAAATGAATTAAGACGTTTGTTAAATATACGATTGACACAATGTTCAGCTGGATATATATTAAACTGTGAAATTACTGATCAAATGTTAGAGGAAGCTTTAGATGAATCGGGTAGTCTAAAATTAGAAAATATGGTTAGTATTAAAACTTAACTTTTCATTCTACCAAGGTTCAGATGAATTTGATGGTAAGTGTGAGTAACACTAAAGTAGATGCATAACTCAGTAGAACAAATTATATTTATCATTTACACTAAAGTAGATACATAACTCAGTAGAACAAATTATATGTATCATTTACACTAAAGTAGATACATAACTCAGTAGAACAAATTATATGTATCATTTACACTAAAGTAAATACATAACTCAGTAGAACAAATTATATGTATCATTTACACTAAAGTAGATACATAACTCAGTAGAACAAATTATATGTATCATTTACACTAAAGTAAATACATAACTCAGTAGAACAAATTATATGTATCATTTACACTAAAGTAGATACATAACTCAGCAGAACAAATTATATTTATCGTATTGTTATGCGTTTACTTTTCTACATTGGCTAGAGGTATAGGGGGAGGGTTGAGATCTCATAAACATGTTTAACCTCGCCGCTTTTTTGCGCATGTCCCAAGTCAGGAGCCTCTAGCCTTTGTTAGTCTTGTATTATTTTTAATTTTAGTTTCTTGTGTACAATTTGGTGTTTAGTATGGCGTTCATTATCACTGAACTAGTATATATATTTGTTTAGGGGCCAGCTGAAGGACGCCTCCGGGTGCGGGAATTTCTCGCTGCATTGAAGACCTGTTGGTGACCTTCTGCTGTTGTCTGTTCTATGGTCGGGTTGTTGTCTCTTTGACACATTCCCCATTTCCATTCTCAATTTTATCATCATGATCATTTACACTAAAGTAGATACATAACTCAGTAGAACAAATTATATTTATCATTTACACTAAAGTAGATACATAACTCAGTAGAACAAATTATATGTATCATTTACACTAAAGTAAATACATAACTCAGTAGAACAAATTATATTTATCATTTACACTAAAGTAGATACATAACTCAGTAGAACAAATTATATGTATCATTTACACTAAAGTATGTCAAAATTGAAAATCAACATCATATTCCCAATGAACACAGCCCTACTAAATGAAACCCAAGTATATTTTGTTTAAAATTTGTATTTGTTAATACCGGTACATACAATCTCAAAGCATAATCACAGAGTATCTTCCATGCAAATCTCCAGTCTGGAGGTCAAAAATAAAATCTTAGGATTTTTTAGAGAATCCATGAGTTTTATGAAAAATACATGCTTGTCCGAAAATCTCAAGCGGAATGTTTTAGCAGTAAATAATCATTTGTAAACACAGAAGTTTGTCACTTGTGCAGACAATTTTGACGTTTTTGTTGTAGATTATTCAATGATGATCATGATCTACACTGCAAAGAGACTGTCCCCCAAAACATTTATCTAACCTTAGATTAGACTGTATAAGCAATATCCATTTTATTGTTTTGAATTTTGTTTGTGTATTTTTTCTTTAAATATAATGTATGTTTTCTCTTTTCTTGATTTTAGTGGCCACCAGGGACACCAGAAGAATCACTATATGCCTTAACTTTTACAAGTGATAAACTGGATCCAGTAAGTAGGATTGTTTTGGCAAAACAGTTACAAACAAAACATGTTACAAAAACATTAAGAACAAATGAAAGATATAACAAAGATACATATATTTGTAAGAGTCAAATCTATCTCCAGTCTTAAATCTGTGTCCAGTGGCATCATAACACTCAAATCTATGGCCCTATGTCCAGCCTCAAATATGTGTCTTATGATTTCATTAAACTCAAATCAGTGGCCCTTTGGTTATTCAAATCTGTGTCCTTTTTATAAGGTTGACTTTCAGTAATGTGACGTGACTTTGGACAGGCACATATAAAATGTGGTGGGGTTAAAGCAGGGGAAAAGGGTTAATGTGCAGAGAGCATGGCACACACTACTTAAGGCTTCAGATTTTATGTCCCCATTCTTGCTGCATATTTTTACATCCTGGACAACCATATGTATGCCCTACTTTGCCAAGGGTTTTACTGCAGTTGAAGAAAGACCTAAATTCACCATATTTCTATACCCCTGTTGCACTTGGGGTGATATATAAATAGGGATACTCATAAACAAATATTTATATATATGTACCTAAAGGGTTGTTGTATTTGAACAGAAACATTGGTACTGTGCATAACCAAAACTAATGAATTCACCTTTGAGGTATTTTGAAGTTTTCTAATTTGTTTTGAAATTGGTTTGAGATATTGACACAATATGTGGTATATTGTCATTTTACTATGCTTTTGATATATGAATTTGATTTTATCATGGTTGACCTGTTTTTCACAAAACTTTCTTTTCTCATGAATTGAAAGAGATAATCAGTTTTCTACACTGTTTTGTAATTTGTAGAGGTATTAACAGAGTATACACTGTTTTGTAATTTGTAGAGGTATTAACAGTTTCTATACGGTTTTGTAATTTGTAGAGGTATTAACAGAGTATATACTGTTTTTAATTTGTAGAGGTATTAAGTTTCTTTACCGTTTTGTAATTTGTAGAGGTATTAACAGAGTATATACTGTTTGTAATTATACCACCGCTTTAAAAAAGTGGGGGATACTGTTTAACCTCTATCTGTCCGTCCATCCATCCATCCATCTGTCCGTCTATCTATCCGTCCGTCTAGTGAATATTTTTCGTTGCATCTTTCTCAGGAACTACACTACAAGGATTTCTGAAATTTGGTTTCCAGGGTTTATATAAGTCAGCTATACCATGTGATGCGTTTTCAGATTCATCACTCAACAACTTCCTGTTTACCGTCAAGTATTTGGGCAGGGGTATCATCAGTGAGCAGTAGCTCACAGTTTCACTTGTTTGTAGAGGTATTAACAGTTTCTATACTGTTTTGTAATTTGAAGAGGTTTTATCAGTTTCAATACTGTTTTGTAGTTTGTAGAAGTTTCCAGAGTTTCAATACTGTTTTGTAGTTTGTAGAGGTATTAACAGTTTCTATACTGTTTTGTAATATAAAGAGGTATTAACAGTTTCTATACTGTTTTGTAATTTGTAGAGGTATTAACAGTTTCTATACTGTTTTGTAATATGAAAGAGGTATTAACAGTTTCTATACTGTTTTGTAATTTGTAGAGGTATTAACAGTTTCTTTACTGTTTTGTAATATGAAAGAGGTATTAACAGTTTCTATAGTAGAGGTATTAACAGTTTCTATGCTGTTTTGTAATATGAAGAGGTATTAACAGTTTCTATACTGTTTTGTAATATGAAAGAGGTATTAATCTAATTTTATTATATACAGGCCATCAAATCAGAATTTTTGTTTTTTGTATTTCAAGTTTTCATAGAGTTATCTGTCTTTGTACTTAAAAAAACATGAAGAATGAGTGCTTTAGACATTGCTGGTATGAGACATGTACATGTATGCTTAAACAATTGTTTGGATCTTCTTTTTTTAGGTTAGAAAAGTTCTCCTGTCAATGTTTACAACAACTTACAAGACAACACGAAAAAATTTTATAAAAAAAGTTAAAGAAGAGACAGATATTGATTTAACAGAAAATGATGCAAAACTTTTATTAAGTGTAAGTATTGCAGTTTTGGATTAAAATTCACAACATCTACAAATAAGTCAACATAACCATAATTAGTGATCCATTTTTTAAACGCGCGTTTTACAGGACGTATTATGGTATACCTCTGTCCGTCGTCAACATGTGGGACAATAACTCAAAACCGCTTTAACCAATTTGCATGAAACTTTGGTCAATTGTTTATATCTATTGACGTGAGCTCCCTTTCGATTTTTATAGATTTTGGATTTTACGTTTCCGAGTTCCATTGAGCAGTTTTTATGGAACTTTGGTGACTGTTTTATATCTATTAAAATAACCTCCCTTTAGTTTTTTATAAATTTCTGATATGACATTGAGGATTTATGGAACTTTATTAGTCCCCTACCGAGGAAGTCGAAGGGGACTTTAGGTTTGCACTCCGTCCGTCTGTCTGTCTGTCTGTCTGTCTGTCCATCCGTCAGTCTGGCAAATCAGTTTTCAACATTTTTTTTCTTCGTGCTTGAAGATATTGATTTGATATTTGGTATATTGACTTATCATGACAAGTTACAGATCAAGTTTGAATTTTGTTCCGGTCTGATGATTTTGTGCAGAGTTATGGTCCTTGGACTTAGAAAATTCACTCAAATATTCAGTTTTCCTCACTTTTTTTCATCATGCTTGAAGATATTGAGTTAATAATTGGTGCATTGTTTTCTCATGACAAGTTACAGATCAAGTTCGAATTTTGTTCCCGTCTGATGATTTTGTGCAGAGTTATGGTTTTTGGACTTGGAAAATTCACTTAAATAATCAGTTTTCCACACTTTTTGTCATCATGCTTGAAGATATTGACTTGATATTTGTTATATAGTTTACACTATGACAAGTTATAGATCAAGTTAGCATATTGTTCCAGTACAACTAATTTTTAACCGGTGGGGGACTATGTATTGCCATGCAATACTCTCAGAATGCTTGTTCTTGTTAAAGCGACAGGCGTATCTTGCGTTCATGGCGCAGCTCTTATTATAGGTTTTATTGCTCTTAAACAACTACAAATATTGATTCGTATATTTTAACTTATTTGATTCGTTCAGGGATAGTCACATGTTAAACTATATTTTCGAAGGTAGAGAGAAAACGGCGAATAGCAAAAAGCATATTGCACAGCGAAAAGCATATTGCACGGTTATTTTTAGAATATCTAAAAACCGATATACTTTGTGACGTCATGTAATGAATTTCATGATATTGTTAAAAGATTTATGAAAAAATATCTATGATCAATTATTTGAAGAAAAAAAATCTTCATATACATAAGATGTAAAAAAAAAAAAAAAGTAAATGAAATAACAACTTATATGTTATATTATACTTGGTCCTCAGTCAATATATTTCTTTCAGGTCAATATATCCTTGTATCGACCTCATTCAAAGGCTATAATTGATATATTCTTAATATCCGACCATATTTGTATCAAAATCCTGAATTGATTTTTATACGACCGCAAAAAAATTTTGTGGTCGTATATTGGTATGACGTCGATGTCCGGCGTTATCGTCCGAAGACACATTGGTTTTCGCACTCTAACTTTAGTTTAAGTGAATGGATCTCTATGATATTTTACCTTAAGGTTCAATACCACAAAAGGAAGGTTGGGATTGATTTTGGGGGTTATGGTACCAACAGTTGAGGAATTAGGGGCCAAAAAGGGGCCAAAAATAAGCATTTTTGTAACTTCCAGACATATATTGTGTGTTAGTGTATGGATCTCTCTCACATTGTACCACAAGGTTCCATATCACAAAGGGAATGCTGGGATTGATTTTGGGGGTAATTGCCTCAAAATTTTAGGAATCAGGGACCAGAAAAGGGGGAAAAAACAAGCATTTTTCTAGTTTCATGACAATAACTTGTGTGTAAGTGTATGGATCTACCTGAAATTGTACTACAAGGTTCCATATCACAAAGGGAAAGCTGGAATTGAGTTTGGGGGTAATTGCCCAAAATGTTTAGGAATAAGGGGCCAAAGATAAGCATTTTTATATGACCGCAAAAAATTTTTTGGGATCGTATAATGGTATGATCAGTCAGGGGCGTTACTTAAACAAGTTATTTTTTTAAGTTACTTATATAAGTAATTTTTGTTTTTAAAAATAATAAAATTACTTAATAGAGTTATTTTAAATTTCAATAGAAGCATAGACTAAATGTAGTTTTCATGAATTTTTACATCATTTTATATCATAAAATAAAGAATTTATTAGATTTGAGAGGAGTATAGAGATAAAGGGTTACTTTAAAAATAATGACAAAAATATTACTTGAATAAGTTATTTTATACATTTTTGAAAAAAATAGTAATAACACTTATTGAAGGAACATATGTAATTGATTTTGGTTACAAGTTATAAATAACTTCAAGTCTTAATTAATTCACAAGTATCTATCTATTTATATCAGTCTACCTTCAAGATTTTGGAGGAAAATGATAATTTAATAGTCCCATGAGACCAATCTTTGATCCAGAAGCGTCAGTATGAAAGATAAGTGCGTCAGAAAGTTAATTAGTGTTTCAGAAGGATTAGATTTTATATTCCATGGGAAAAATAACCAGATGACTGTGAAAATTTGTTAAAGCTACTAAAATCTGTATAATTGGACACCTATAAAAATAATATTCAGAAAAGTTACTTATATAAGTAATATTTAAAATAGCCTCGTTTTCAACATTACTTGTATAGGTAATTTTAATTGTTACTTATTTAAGTAATGCCCCTGACTGATGATGTCGTCGTCTGCATCGTCGTCCGAAGACACATTGGTTTCCGGACAATAACTTTAGTTTAAGTGAATGGATCTCTATGAAATTTTTTAAGAAGGTTCAATACCACAAAAGGAAGGTTGGGATTGATTTTGGGGATGATGGTCCCAACCGTTTAGGAATTAGGGGCCCAAAACAAGCATTTTTCTAGTTTCAGGATAATAACTTGTGTATAAGTATTTTGATTGCTCTGAAATTGTACCACAATGTTTAATACCACAAGTTGAAGGTAGGGATTCGTTTTATGGGTTATGGGGCCAACAGTTTAGGAATTAAGGGCCAAAAAGGGGGAGAAACGCATTTTTCTAGTTTCCAGACAATAACTTGTGTGTAAGTGTATGGATCTCTCTGAAATTGTACTACAAGGTTCCATACTACAACGAAAGGCTGGGATTGAGTTTTGGGGTTATTGCTCCAAGGGGGGTTTCAAAAAGTTTGGGGGGGGGGGATTTTTTTCCCAATTTTTTTAAGGGATTCATACTTTTTTTTCAAAATTTTTAAAATTTCGATTTTTTGAAAAAGTTTCAAGAAGAAATCTTCAATTGCACAGTATTGCGCAATGGATTTATAAGATCTTTGACCACATTTATTTTGTGTCAGAAACCTATATTATGTCATAAATTTGATCACAATCCAAATTCAGACAGTATCAAGCTTGAATATTGTGTCCAAATTTGCCCGAACTGTTCAGGGTTTGACCTCTGCGGTCGTATCAGGCTGCGCTCAGCGAAGCATTTTATTCTAGTTTCCAGACAATAACTTGTGTTCAAGTGTATGGATCTCTCTGAAATTGTACTGCAAGGTACCATACCACAAAGGGAAGGCTGGGATTCATTTTGGGGGTAATTGCCTCAAAATTTTAGGAATTAGGGGCCAAAAAGGGGCAAAAAACAAGCATTTTTCTAGTTTCAGGACAATAACTTGTGTGTAAGTGTATGGATCTTTATGAAATTGTACTACAAGGTTCCATATCACAAAGGGAAAGCTGGGTTTGAGTTTGGGGGTAATTGCCCTAAACGTTTAGGAATTTGGGGCCAAAAAGGGCCTAAAAACAAGCATTTTTCTAGTTACCAGACAATAACTTGTGTTCAAGTGTATGGATCTCTCTGAAATTGTACTGCAAGGTACCATACCACAAAGGGAAGGCTGGGATTGTGTTTGGGGGTGATGAATCATAAGGGGGTTCAAAAATTTTCAGGGAGGGATTTTTTTCCCCTTTTTTTCCTTTTTTTTCTTTAAAATTTTCCATTTTAAATTGGTTATTTCTGATTTATATATAAAAGCAAATAATAATGATATGGTCGAATAGGTAAATTAAAAATTTTTAAGTTCTTAGACCACATTCATTCTGTGTCAGAAACCTATGCAGTGTCAAATATTTAATCACAATCCAAATTCAGTGCTGTATCAAGCTTGAATGTTGTGTCCATAATTGCCCCAACTGTTCAGGGTTCGACCTCTGCGGTCGTATCAAGCTGCACCCAGCGGAGCATTTTATTTGATTTTGTTGGAATTTTATAGATATCATATTGTCTGTCTCCTATACAATAACAACATATGAGTTGTTATTTCATTTACTTTTTTTTTTTTTTTTACATCTTATGTATATGAAGATTTTTTTTCTTCAAATAATCGATCATAGATATTTTTTTTATAAAACTTTTAACGATATCATTAAATTCATTACATGACGTCACAAAGTATATCGGTTTTTAGATATTCTAAAAATAACCGTGCAATATGCTTTTTGCTATTCGCCGTTTTCTCTCTACCTTAGAAATTATAGTTTAACATGTGACTATCCATGAACGAATCAAATTAGTTAAAATATACGAATTAATAATATTATGGTATATTGTTGTCCGTCCATTTGTCTGTCCGTCATCAACATGTCGGACAATAACTCAAAAACGCTTTAACCAATTTGCTTGAAACTTTAGTGAATTGTTTATATCTATTGATGTGAGCTCCTTTTTGATTTTTATAAATTTTAGATTTTACATTTCAGAGTGATGGGGTTTTATTCATTAAAAAAGGGGGATTTTCCAGTTTTCGAACAATAATTCAAAAATGCTTTGAGCAGTTTTTGTGAAACTTTGGTGAATTGTTTTTATCTATTGACATAAGCTCCCTTTCGATTTTTATAAATTTTAGATTTTATGTTTCTGAGTTAAGGCATTTTATTCATAAAAAGGGGGGATTTTCCAGTTTTCAGACAATAACTCAAAAGTGCATTGAGCAGTTTTCTTGAAACTTTGGTGACTGGTTTATATCTATTAAATAACCTCCCTTTAGTTTTTTATAAATTTCTGATATGACATTGAGGAGTTATGGAACTTTATTCTTTGAAAAAGCAACAGGCGTATCATGCCCTCATGGCGCAGCTCTTTATTTAGGCTGGTACACCAATATGAAAGACCATGTATGTCATTTTTATGTCATTTTTATGTTTAAACATTTTGTGTTGGAAATGTAAGATATGGAGATTATTTTATTGTTTTGAATGCTAGTCATGATATTATCCCTGAGCCCAATAACATTGGCCTTTGATTGATATTAGAGTCTCAAGGAACAGTTATGGTAAATGATGTTTTTGAATAGTCTGTGTGTATTGTTTGCTCTCAAGACTTATGGTCTCCAGCATACCTGATCAAAAAAAAAAAATATGTCGTGTAAACTGTTATAAGTATTAATCCTTTGTATATCTCATTAATTTCAACTATTATTAAAAGTGATTGTTTAAGAACATTTATAGTTAACTGATGGTGTGTTTTTGTATTGACGCAAATTGAATCCTTTTTATACGACTGCAAAAATTAAAAAAATTTTGGTCGTATATTGGTATCTTGTTGTCGTCTTCGTCAGCGTCGTCCGAAGACAGATGGTTTCCAGGTAATAACTTTAGTATAAGTAAATAGAAATCTATAAAATTTTAACACAAGGTTTATAACATCTAAAGGAAGGTTGGGATTGATTTTGGGGGTTATGGTCCTAACTGTTTAGGAATTAGGGCCCAAATAAGCATTTTTGTAGTTTCCAGACAATAACTTGTGTTAAAGAGTGTGAATCTCTCTGAAATTATACCACAAGTTTCCATACAGCAAAGGGATGGTTAGGATTGACTAAGGGGGGTTATGGCTCAAACCATATAGGAATAAGAGGCAAAAAAGGGGGAAAAACAAGTTTTTTTCTGGTTAAAGGACAATTAAGACAATTTAAAGCAGTCTAAGGGAGGTAATCCAATCCCAATTTAAAACAACAATGTTTGATTACCTCCCTAACACTGCTTGTAAATTATGTATTAAGAAATGATGATTGTCTTGAAGCGATTAGCTGTCAATTTATTTTTAAAAGTTACTATTAATGTCTAATTTCAGATTTCAGAAATTAAAAAGAAAATTTCTTCAAATATTTTTTTTTTGGGGTTAATATTCAACAGGATAGTGTATTGCACAAAAGCAAAAAAATGGGGTCAATTTTATTTAGGGGGGGGGGGGGGGGGGGGGAGGGGGTCGATTCGCAACAGCATAGTGTATTGCACTAAAGCAAAAAATTGAATATAAATTCAAATCATATAACCAATTTTTAAGTTCTTTGACTACAGTTATTCTGTGTCAGAAACCTATTATGTGTCAAATATTTAATTACAATCCAAATTCAAACCTGTGTCCATTTTGGCCCAAATTTTCAGGGTTGGACATCTGCGGTTGTATCCAGCTGCGCTTTCCGAAGCAATTTATTATTATTTCCATGAAACATGAATTGGTAAGAAACAAAGATTACATGTGTGTGTATGGCTTAAAATTTTGTTTCTGTATTTCAGGATTATTGTATCAATAAAGGCAAGGGGGCTACATGGTATTTGAAAGGAACATTAATACCAGACTCATGACATCGTTGGAAAAGGAATAAAAATAGATTATGATTTATGCCAACGTGATAATTACAGGCTGTGTCCAGATGATCAACCATCACATCCTGTTTTGGCAAAAAGTTTGCTGTTTCATGACTTTATACCAGCACTTTGATTTAATTATGTGGAATCATTGGGACAGAAAACAAAAATCCATGATATTGGCTGGCAATATTTTTTCCTAAGAAATAATAACTAATTTCATATTTCTGTATATATAATGTATGTCAAATCTCATTCAAAAGTGACACAAATTGTTTTGTAGTGATTGATTCATTGTTAATTACTTCAATGCTGGTACATATGAGGAGACTAATGTGATGATTAATATAAGGAGGGAGATGCCAATTAGACACATATTCACCAATGTCTAAATGGTGTGGATGTAAGCAAATACAGGTCACTGGGCTACCTTCTGCAATTCACAAAACCTATTTCGCATAGTCTGTTACAAAAGACCAGACATGACAAAATGTCAAACAATTCAAACAAAAAACCAATGCTCGAATTTATGACAAAATAAAAAACCATTATCACAGACAGCAACTAACAACAACCACTGATTTATAGGCTCCTGATTTGGGACAGGCACATAAAGAATGTGGAGAGGTTTAAAAACATTTGTGTCGGCTCAACCTACTCTAACCTGGGACAGTGGTTTAACAGTACAATATAAGAAAAGACTAAAACTATTTTGATAATTACTTGACCCATCATATTGGCACAAAATACAGCTTCTGGGGATTCATTTATTTTCGTTGGAACCAGTTTTTGTAAATCATGTAGATTGAGGAAAACTTATACTCACAGTTACTGGAAGCTAGTTCAAAGCCAATTACTGAAATTGAGAAATTAATTCGTTCATTTATTATTGGGAATAACTAATTATGGGTACAAATGTGAGATCTAATTAATATGTGTGCAAAAACTACTGAAATGATGAAATTGCTAGCCTGATACTGTCATAGTTTGTACATTGATAAAACCATCTAAACAAATTCTGAAGGAATAGTACAACTGATAAATAATATTCTCCAAGACTTTAGTATCAATCAGTTCACATCCCTTAAGGTCATGAACAGTCTGAGCATGACCTTGTGTAATGTCAAAATAAACATTCATGTTGAAGTGTAGACAGGAAATAGGACCAGACATTTCCTTTATATGTCTCTGGTTTTCATAACTGTATAGCAATACTTTTTAGTTAGATATTAGTAAAATTGAAAACCTTCTTCAAGGGATCAATGAATTTACATTGGTTGTATCCAATAGTATGCTACAAAAATAAAGTGTGTACTGGATTTGTTATTTGACACACACTACTGAAAGGATAATATATATGTGTCTTTAGCACTGCTCTTTTCCTAAATGTGTACTGGATATCTAAAGATTTTTGATAAAAGGAATCAAATACTTTGAGAATAGGGTCAAATATAAAGGTAGTACCAGTGACATATAATACAACTATATAAGTCTCTGGTAATATACAGCCAAGTGTATGGTATACTGACAGAAAATTTGCTTCTAGGAAAAAGACACTGTGATGACTACAGACCAGACTGATAATTTGAACAAAAAAGGTCTGTATTCTCAGTTCATCTCTTCTTAAAACTATCACAAAAATAAGGAAGAGATGTGTATTTTCAATTTTGCACCCAAAAAGATAATTGATGTCTCAGATACATCATATCCTCTGTATAGCATCAAGATGATGATTATGCATAAAGATGCAGGTATACAGATTTTAGATGAACAGAATAAGGCAACCTTTTTGTCTACTTGCAGATGTTTATTAAACATTTTGTCAAAATTTTTACTGTGGACTGCAGTAATGCTAGATTTAGCTTACTTGACCAAAAGCTTGATCCACCATCACTTGTTGTCTGTCATTGGCTGACAAAAACTTAACCTGAATGTTCCTAATGGCATCTCGTTTGTAAATATATATTTGGTATTGGATCCATCAACAAAATGCTGTTGCTTAAAACAGAACAGATGGGTCTGCATATATTTTGGGGGTAAAAATAGCATGAAATGCATCAAAACCTTGTGTCACTAGCTACATAATTATATATTCCAAGCCTCATCTCTACTTTTGAGAGTTCACACAATGTAATGCAGTGAGGTGAACATTCTTAGGATTATTATTCATGCCCATGTCAAGCAATTGAGTATTTATTTATACTCGTATATTCAAGTTACAAAATTGTGGTCATTGTGTATGAATCTTTCTGTACTATAAAAAAAAAAAGGGGGGGGGGGGGGGGGGTGTTCACGCTTATGGACATTGGAAGATAACTCCAATTCACCATATTGCCCAAATGTTTCCAATTGCAATTAATTGTATGTCTGACTTGAAGTTAACATTACAAATTTAAAGCAATCTTACCCTACAGTGCTAATAAGCACTTTGATTGGTTTATGTCTTGAAAAACAATAATAGATGGAGAAAAAACTATCACATCAAAACACTCTGGAGCCATATATGTTTTCATTTGTTTATAATTGTCAATTGACTTCCTTTGAGAAATATTGCCCATAAATGATGATTTTTACCAATTTTGTGTGTTTTTTTCTATTTTTATGCCCCCGCCGTAGCGTTTTACCCTTGTCTGTTTATATGTACATCCATACGTCCCAAAAATGGTTTTCATTCTCTAACTTTAGTTTGCCTCAACCAAATGTTATGAAACTATACACAATGCTTATTACCAACAAAACACGGGTCAAGTTTGAATTTGGGTAGCGTCACTTTTACCATTCTAGAGTTATGCCCCTTTACAAATTAAAAAATTGCAGAATTTTTCGTTTTTATACGACCGCAAAAAATTTTGCGGTCCTATATTGGTATCACGTCCTCATCGTCGTCGTCCAAAGACATTTGGTTTCCGGACAATAACTTTAGTAAATGTAAATAGAAATCTATGAAATTTAAACACAAGGTTTATAACCACAAAAGGAAGGTTGGGATTGATTTTGGGGATTATAGTCCTAACAGTTTAGGAATGAGGGGCCAAAAAGGGGCCCAAATGAGCATTTTTCTAGTTTCCAGACAATAACTTGTGGTATGGTGTATGGATCTCTCTGAAATTATACCACAAGTTTCCATACCACAAAGGGATGGTTAGGATTGGCTTTGGGGGTTATGGCACCAACCCATTTATTAGTATTTTGGTTTGTTTTTCAAGTACTGTAAGCAATAGGTCAACTTTATTTGGTGTATGGAATGATTGTAAGGTGTACATGTCTGTCTAGCTGGTGTCATCTTACCTTGACCTCATTTTAATGGTTCATTGGTAATTGTTAAGTTTTTGTGTTTTGGTCTGTTTTTCAAGTACTATAAGCAATAGGTCAACTTTATTCGATTTATGGAATGATTGTTAGGTGTATATGTCTGTCTAGCCGGTGTCATCTGACCTTGACCTCATTTTCATGGTTCATTGGTTAACATTAAGTTTTTGTGTTTTGGTCTGTTTTTCGATTACCGTAAGCAATTGGTCAACTAGATTTGGTGTATGGAATAATTGTAAGGTGTACATATCTGTGTGACCTTGACCTCATTGTCGGATCTTTAAGAATGTTAAGTTTTTGTGATACTTGTAGTTAAACCTTTCAACATAAAATCAGTGGTCAGTAAAACAGTCGAGACATTTCAGCGTGTGCACTCTTGTTATAGTTTGTTCTTATGTTGTACTGTTATACCACTGTCCCAGGTAAGGAGGAGGGTTGGCGCCTTCAAACTAGTTTAACTCCGCCACACATTCTGTATGTGCCTGTCCCAAGTTGGGAGCCTGTAGTTCATTGGTTATCGTTTGTTGCTGTGTAACATGTTTGTTTTTCGTTCATTATTTTGTACATGAAATTAGGCCGTTAATTTTCTCGTTTGAATTGTTTTATATTTGTCATTTCGGGGCCTTTTATAGCTTACTATGTCATTATGGGCTTTGCTCATGGTTGAAGGATGTACGGTGACCTATAGTTGTTAATTTCTGTGTCATTTGGTCCCTTGTGGAGATTTGTCTCATTGGGAATCATACCTCATCTTCTTATTTTTAAATAAACCGAGATATTTATTAAATATGCATATTCTTGTGAACTGTCGATCAACACAACAGACTGATTTTATTTATAATGTTAGTACATGTTTACAACTCCTCGTCCAATCAAATTGCCTTAATTTACTACCTAAGTTTCATAGTATATACCATATCCGTGTACTTAGTACGCTTCGTGCGAAGAAAATAGAAATTTTAAGTTGCTGCGAACAAAACGAAAATTAAACAAACACAAAAAAACCTTTATACAATATTGTAAAATAAAATTAATATTTGTAAATTAATTCAAAAATTCAAACTTAGAATTTAATCCGATTTTCAATATGGAAATTATTGTTCTACTAGTTTCATGAATATTATCATTGTTTTTCACAGAAAACCACCATTATAGGTTGGTTTGTTTGTCTGGCTTTGACGAGGTCGAAAAAGCGAGAATTAGGCGTACTGTTTCCAGCGTCTGGAGCATTGTCAACAACGTATTAGTTTGATTAGGTCAGTTTATGGAGAATCATTAGTGGTAGGTCAATGATATTTAGTATGCAGTTGTATTTAGATTAACACATCTCTTTTGCCATGGAGATTATTTGGCCCCAACCCCACAGTCATTGTCTAGTTTATATGTATTGTGATTAGGTCAGTTTATGGGGAAACACTAATAGTATATCAATGGTATTTTCTATGCAGATGTATTCTCATTGGTACATCTTATTTCTTATTTCCAGATTATTTTGGTGGGGTATGTGTTGCTCAGTCTTTAGTTTTCTGTGTTGTGTTTTGTGTACTGTTGTTTGTCTTGTTGTCTTTTTCTTTATTGCCATGGTGTTGTCAGTTTATTTTTGACTTGTGAGTTTGAATGTCCTTTTGGTATCTTTCGCCTCTCTTTTCGATGGAGATTATATGGCCTCGTCCCATCATCATGGTTCTTTGACTTTATAACTTTTGCATAATTTACAAGGTAAAAGTTTGTGTTTAGGTTAGTTTAAAGGGAACCACTTGCTTGTGTTTATGTTAGTTTGAAGGGAACTACTTGGTATTTGGTATGCATTATTTTAAGCATTAGCATTTCTCATTTCCATGGAGGTTATTTGGCCCTGCACCTTCAGTCATGGTTCATTGACTTTGAATGTTTTGCATAGTTTACATGTTTAAAAATTGCCATTTTAATTTCAACATTTGCATTATACTATCAAAATTACAAAAAGCTTTGATAAATGAGCTGAGACTCTGACCATTCATCTTTCATGTGTGGAGGGCATGTTTGTTTTAATAAATTGTTTGATTAATTTATTTTTTAAATGAAGAAAAAATGTTTCAAACTGGAAGAGAAAAAAATAGTTTGTTTCCATTGTGAATTATGAAAAATAAATATTACAGTGAGGTTACTTTAAAAAAAAAACATTACTGTATAATAGTGTCCTGAAAAGGAAAATGATCTTAACGGTACTACATCTGTTTCGCATTTCGACAAATAATGTCTATTCTGTGATGCTTGATGCGAAATTTTTCAAAATCCAAAACCTACTACAAACGTTGAAGAGCTGATAAAACCATAAAGAACGTCAAGTATAGCCTAATCCGAATAGGTGCGCTATGGGGTCAGTTTGGCCTAAACTTTATTATAAAATCAGAGGAGTTATAAGATAATTGATATTATCTTAAAAATTAGGGAGCTACCATTTGATTTTTATGGGGGGGCTAGGATGAAAAATTTTGTCCTGCATTTTTTTTTAGTTGAAATCTCTGTCCTGCCTTTTTATTTTTCACTCTACTCGGTCCTGCCTTTTTTTTTATTAGTTTATCCTGACTTTTTTTACATAAATTGTAATCCTGCCTTTTTTTTTTGCCAAGTTGCTCATCCTGCCTTTTTTTTTACTCAAAACTCCTGTCCTGCCTTTTTTTTCATGTTTCATCCTAGCCCCCCCCCCCCCCCCCCCCCCCCCCCCATAAAAATCAAATGGCAGCTCCCTTAGAACAGTAAAAAATTTCAACAATTGTGAAAATTCGCCGAGATTTGTCAATCGAAAGATAACATTAATTTGATGATTTTTTTCAAAATAAATGACAAAAACATGTACATAAATTAGACCTCGTTACGGAGGAGGAAAATGTTTAGACAGGGGGCCTGGGGGCTAGGAAGGCGACCCCCATACGCTGACCATTTCATAGTGCAAAATCCCAAGACTTATTTTGCTAATAGTTTCAGGACAAGATGCATAAAAAATAGGCACTGGCTACGATTACGTTGAAATGTAACAATAATAAAAAAAGTTATTGTTACATTGGTCTCTAATTGTCGGAATGCAAAGTTGGATTAGGAACCGATTATTTATGAACGTAACAATAATATTTGTGTCTACGGCTACGTTGCGTTATTGCTACGTTAATGCACCTCAATGTATGCAGGGACTAGTAATATGTATTAAATTATAACTTGAAAACTTGTATTCGTAAACACTGCAATGCTACAATATTACATACATTTTTAAAATTGTATTTCAACTGATGGCAGCCTCTACACATCCAGTATGTGCTTTTAGGAGCATGTTTTAGTCCGACGCATTTTTGGTGAAACCACTGTAGGCAGCCATCACAAACGAGTGATGCAGCAATGTGTACGTGGTTTTACAGACCAAATAGTTCCACTGTGCAATATCCCTTTTTCGAAGTTAAAGCAACTTTCAATGTCTCCCATGCTTCAGGTGAAAAATATTTTTTGTTCTTGAAATGTTTGTATTTTCGTTCAAATTTTTGTTGGGAAAATGTGAGGTTGTTTTATGTTGTCTTTTAATATCATTTCATTTCCGTCAATTACATGTTGCACTACAGAAGTTCGCAGTATTTTAGTTCACTGCTGTCAAACTTTGCCTTTGATATATCAATTTTTCTCGAACTGCGTTTGTATAAAATTTGATACTTGAGTATTGTTTGTTAGTAATAAGGGTAGGTGTGCAGTTAAAATGATTCTTAACTTACATAGAAGTGAAAACTTTTCTTCTAAACATCGAACCATTGAACTATATATTTTGCCTTTGGCACTACTAAACTGTAGTATTATCCTGAAGAGCATTAAAACAAGTAATACTTAAAAACTATTTCAACATTTTTTTATGAAAAATAATTATTATTATTATCAAGTATTTCGAAGAATTAAGCAACAAAACTCTAGTAGGTTTAAAATTTAATAAATCTAACGTAACAATAACGCAACGTAACCGTAAACACAAATACTATTGTTAATCGGTTCCTAACCCAGCCTAGCTTTCCGGCAATTTGTGTCCAATATAACAATAACTTTTTTATTATTGTTACATTTCAATATAATCGTAGCCAGTGCCTAAAAAATAACAAGAATTTGTATAGTAAGACTTATACAAATCCTTGAAAATAACAATACATTTTAAATTATTCATTTATAAAAAAAAAAGGATAATATGATAGAAAACAATGCTTTTAGCTCATTTACTTGTCATGTTGTTCTAAATGCCGGGTCAAAGGCGACACAATGGCCGGATGCATCCCATCTTTTTTTAACTGAAATAGTGCCTATTTCACCCTCTTTCAATTCTATGTATATATGTGTAAAATCGAAAGGCCGCTCCGCCTACTAGTAGACTCACTCACGGGTGTTCTTATCCATGTTTTAGAGTTGGGACTATTATACTATATACAATATGTCCCAGTTTAGAGGGAAAGGAACGTTCACAGCAGCATGAACTACAATAGTTGCATAATACGAGCGATGTTGGGTTAGAAGTCAGAAGTATAACTCAGCACAGTTTCATGCGTGCAAGATTCCGGGACGGAATTATTGCGCACGTTATTTCACCACCGATGGAGTTCTTGCGGAAAATATTTTTTGTATTCGTCTATCAAATTACAATATTTGCAATAAACTCGTCATTCGGTTTGTCGAGGTAACATGGCATCAAATAAAAAAACACTGACCATGGGTTTAATTTCCTCTGGAAATTTAATGTTCAGATGACTGATTACAAGATCAATGAAAGAATTACACATATCTATTTTAAAATTCTCTTCAACTGTTTCTGTTGCCGCGATTGCTTTGGTCTTTGTTACGTTACGTTACGTTTAGAATACATTTTCTGCTGTAATGAAAGAATCAACAGTGGAAAGATTCAGTACAGTTTATACGTTAGAATTTTAATTCGTAAACTCAAAAGAACATAAAATATTTATCAAATAATCCGGTGACAAACTCTCACATGGGAGACGCCACTTGCCAAGACAAGTGCACTTTTTTATTATTATGAGTATGATTACGAGGAAAGTTCGTGTAAATACACCGAAATTTAGCAGCTGGTACTGGTTTCCGCATACTAGTGGTCTACAAATCTGAAAATAAATAATATGAATTATTATATTATTTATTTGGCAAAATGCTACTGTACACTTTGACTGCAATGGCTCGAATGGCTTTAATGGTGTTGTTAACATGTTAACGGACCCCCTATTGCCCCCCCCCCCCCTCTTTCGAGGCCCTAGGTAATTTCCAGTGGCTTTGAATTAATTACCATATTTCAATGTTAAGTTTTCTGCTTAAGTCAGTTTGATGGGAACTACTTGAAATAAATCAATGATATTTTCTATAAAGTTGCATTACTATCAGGTTATCTCAGTTTGGTGACTATTTCGAGGCCCTGTCCCTTAGGTCATGGTCCAGCAATTTTGAATTAATTAGCAATGTTGCTGTCGATCAGATTGTCTTTTCTGAATTTTCTGCCGATAGGCGAGACATATTTGTGTGTCAACAGTATATTTAATATTTGATTGACCAAACATGTAAAACGTATGTATCCGGCGAGTACAAACTGAGTAACCACAGCAACTATCAAAATTTCGAAACTCTGAAGCGTTGATTTATATGAGGTGTCATCAAAAGTCCACTTGTTTTGTTCTCGATTTCCTGCAATATGTGCCTACAGGTACTTTTCGAAACGGAATGGAACGAAGCGGAACGACTAAAGGGGCATCATAAAGGAATTTATTTATAATGAATTAAATTGTTCTTTAAAGTAGGAAGTAAATACAACTGCATACACCTGACTTCATAATTTTTATATACGATAATTCTTAGAGTAATTTTCCTTTTAAAATCATACTGGCTGAAATAATGATGTTGCAGTTAAAAGTATTATGAGATGTAAGAAATGATATCATATTTAAAATAGTAAAAAACAGCGCATATATTTTTAAAGAATGTTCTGAACTCAACAACTTAGATATTCGAAAATTTATTATCTATGACTCCCCCCCCCTTTTTCTCTTCCTTTAATTCCGACATGCTGGTCCTTCATGATATCCTCAAACTTCGTTTGTAAACAAAATAAAAAAATGTTCCGTTCCGTTCCATTCCATTAGTATCATTAGCCAGGGGCTATTGGCATTTTTCGAAACTGAACGGAACAAGTAAACTTCATTTATTTCATGTCTTGTTGGTTTAACTTCGCTGTTAACAGTCATTTCACTAATTTAAAAAAGTGAAATCACCCCGACAAGTAAATGCAGTTGGTTTGTTTCGTTCCGTTCCGAAAAAAAGATAAGATTGCACTGCTCATTACTTTAATAGAACTTATGACTTGCCGTAGCATCGATCTCGGGATAAGATTACACTTATTTTCTTTACTTAGTAATAGAAATTATGACTTGCCATAATTATGTCACCATGTTTGGCCACATTCAGTCACTCTGATCATATTTTTTTTTGGTGTAAATTGATGTTTTATTAATCAAACATAGATTAAAAGACATAATTCGGTCTATGGTTTAACCTAGTATAGAATTGAGAATGGAAATGGGGAATGTGTCAAAGAGACAACAACCCGACCATAGAGCAGACAACAGCCGAAGGCCACCAATGGGTCTTCAATGCAGCGAGAAACTCCCGCACCCGAAGGCGTCCTTCAGCTGGCCCCTAAACAAATAAGTATACTAGTTCAGTGATAATGGACGTCATACTAAACTCCAAATTATACACAGGAAACTAAAATTAAAAATGATACATACTAACAAAGGCCAGAGGCTCCTGACTTGGGACAGGCGCAAAAATGCGGCGGGGTTAAACATGTTTTTTGAGATCTTAACCCTGCCCCTATACCTCTAGCCAATGTAGAAAAAACAAACGCACAACAGTACGCACAGTAAAACTCAGTATAAGAGAAGTACGAGTCCGATGTCAGAATATGAAACAAAAGAAAATAAACAAAATGACAATAATACATAAATAACAGACTACTAGCAGTTACTGACATGCCAGCTACAGACCTCAATTAAACTGATTGAAAGTTTATGTCTTCATCATATGAATATCAGGCACAATCCCTCCTGTTAGGGGTTTAGTATTATACCGTCTTAAAATATTTGAGAAGAACATAACCCGTGTCATGCCAACAACTGGTTTTAGAATAAATGTGTTAATTCCGATGCAAAGACCCTATAAGTGAATCAATATTAAAGCCAAAATATGCAATCTTTAATGACCTGACAACAGTATCGTATTATATCCATACATATAGCCAATATATCTTAAAGAACAATTCGATGCCACCTACAACACGATTTTTACTATGCAGCTGTACATTTCAAAGCTGTTTTCAAAAAAGGAAGCAGGCCAGATACATACCCGCCAAAACCTATTCACATCAATTTAATTTGACTCGTATCAGATCTTTGAAATTTTAAATCCCTTGAACTACAATGTGATTTTTATGTATCTTGCCTGACAAGGGTCTAATTAAAATTTCTTTATGTTTTTAAAAAATGTTAATGATAAATGATGTAGTCGATAAAACTATTTTTCAATGAGATGCAATTTTTTCAATTAAATGCCATCAACGTTTTTGTTTCAAATGCAGACAATTTTGTAGATTACTGCATTTGGATTTTGGACTGTGAAAATTTATACAAAATGTTTGTGATATATATAACATACTAAGTGTGTTGTTGGTCAAAAAGAAATATACTAAAATTGTGTATCCGATTATTTCCTTATAATACAAAAGGTTTTTATTTTGGTATTTGTCAAAAACTGTATATCGACGACCTTTGAAGCTATTTTAAATCAGATTGGCACATCAAGGGGAGGTAATTGAAAAAATGAACGAACAAGGAAGTCGTTATAAATTATAATACTACATTGTCAAGAGTATCTTAATAACTTCGGAAATATTTCATATGTGGTCGACCTGAGAAAAAAAAAGAACCTGGTGACAATGGAATCCTGAATAGTTTATCTTTCGTATAGGTCGAAAATGGAAGGGATACTAGAAAAACCATCTGTAAGTTGTCTATATAATATATTTATTGTCAGGTTTCAGATTAGAATATTACATGTACATGTTTAATTCACGCACTTTGTCTGTGCAAGTAATTGAATACAGTATAGGTAAGAAGGTATTAGACATATTAACATTAAAAGTTTAAGATTAGAATACCGTGATATATATTTAAAACATTTGAACTGTAATAGATTTTAATATACTAACACAAACTATTTGTATCTACAAACGTATCAAATGTAAGACTCTTGAACGTACACGAGAATGATCAAAATATGTGTGGGTTATTGAAACGAAAGGAGGGGGAGGGTAACAAATACTTTTTTCTGGAAATTTAAATCGTGTTTTCTCTGAATCCCCGAAACAGAATATCTCAATGACAACATGGGAATATGAAATAAAAATCCTAATTGTAGATTTTAAATTGCTCAGTTAAAAGAGGCACTTGCACAAGTGATTTTTTTAGGTGGTGACTCAGTAGAGGAACTCATAAAACGAATGGTAGATTTTAGATTTGATTTTTTAAATAAAATTCTCACATGATTGAACCGTATTATACGTATCAAGTTGTTTATTTATTCGAGAAGGAACGTATTTTAATCCAATACACACGGAAGGTAAGTCTTTTGTGTATCCTCAGGTGTATAATAGTTAAAATTCGTTTAAAATTTGTGACTGAATGATAGGATCTGAGGTCATTTAATGGTTTGACATGTACTTGTTAACAAAACAAAGCATCTGACAAAGTATGTACGATCATGTATCTTTAAAATATGTATGTAGTATGTACCTGTACAAGTGGTAACTTGGTTACACCAATACAACCCAGTACACGAATAAAAACCATTCAAATAACAAGTGATGTTAAAAGACAGATTTTTTTATTTCAGATTTTTATCCATCAAATAAACTGTCCTTGAAATCAAAAGAATTTTTCAGATATTGAATTTTACCCCTAACTATATTCTGTGATCTAAATGATTAACAGATTATTGGTTACTAGTATCTGTATGAAAAAAAAGATGTGCTGTGAGCACCAAATATAAAAATAAGAAGATGTGGTATAATTGCCAATGAGAAAACCTCCACCAAGGATCAAAATGACGTAGAAGTTAGTAATAAAGCTCTCCATATAATGTATTTTACCCTTAAAATCTCTTTGATCCTAAATAAAATAGGAAATGCGCAATGTCAATTCCTAAAATCTCTCTGATAATTTTATACAAATCCATTCAGTGATCATTTAGGGAACGACCATTTGATATAAATCTTGTATTTTCGCAAAACAAGTAGGTGAAATTTGCAGGCGTCACGGAATGTCATACCATTCGTACGCAGATGATACGCCGGTTTATCAAATCATAAGACCGCAAGGAGACTGGTATGATCTGTCCAAACGTCCAGAAAAATGTTTGTCTGATATTGGTGATTGGATGAGTGCCAATATGCTGAAACTTAATGAAGACAAAACAGAATTAATTATCTTTGCACCCAAAAATCAATTGAAGCATCTTTCCGATTTCCGTCTGACATTTGATGGAATTGTATTAAGCGACGTTTCTTGTGTGAAAAATCTGGAAATGTACTTTGATAAAATCATCAGTATGGAGCATCAAACCAGTGCGATCACTAAGGCTTGTTTGATCCATATTCGGAATATTGGTCGAATTCGATCTTTAATTTCGGTTGAAGCCTGTAGAAAACTAGTATGCTCCCTAGTTACATCAAGGCAAGACTATGGCAACGCATTGTTGTATGGTACTAACACTAACATTATCAGTAAGCTATGTCGCAACGTGTCCAAAACACAGCAGCACGTTTGATAACACGAAAAAGGAAAATTGACTCAATTACGCCTGTTCTTATCTCGTTACACTGGCTACCCTTTTATTACCGCTGCCAATATAAACTTCTGTTATATGTGTTCAAAGCACAGCATGACAAGGCTCCTAGCTACCTCCAAGATCTAATTACGCCGTACAAACCTGACAGATCCCTCAGGTCGGAAAACAGTATGCTTTTACATCATCCAAATGACGTCCGAACGAAAAGCTACGGCGAGAGGCGTTTTGACAAGGCCGCGCCTACACTCTGGAACAGTTTACCATCGTCCTTGCAGAGTGTGAATTCTTTTAACGTTTTTAAAAAAACAACTCAAGACTCACTTCTTTCGAACTGCTTTTAAGGATTTCTTGTAGCCTTTTTTATACTTTTGATTGACTGCGTTAATTTTGGACTGTTTTGTATATTTTAGGGTACATGCATTTTTGAATCTTTATCTCCTTGTTAGGTTCTTATTAGTTGGTGCTTTGTATTTTATGTTTTATGTGTTTTTGTATTTTATGTTTTATGTGTTTTTGTATTTTATTATTTTTAAATGTGAGGCGCTTAGAGTAATTGTTGTTATCATATAATGCGCTCTATAAATATTGTATTTATTATTATTATTATTATATATCCTGATCTTGTAAAAGTTAAAAATATATAACCTTGCAGAAGACAGGATGAAATATATTCTGCAACACAAAATGCAGAAATCAATCGTGTACAAAACACAGAAAAAAATAAGCATGCGTAGCAACAGATGAAAACTTCGTTTTCGGTCAATATAATCTGAACAGGATCATATATAACATATTGACCTCGTCAAAAGACCATAATTGATAAATATCTAACATCAGTATGATAGTTGTATAATTTATATATATATTTTTTTTCATTTGTTTGTTCGCGTGTTTGTAAGCCATTTGCCCATAGGGGCGTAAAGTGCATTTCAATAAAGTAAAGTATATGTAGTATTGTTACATAATATCATTTGTCAAGTTTAAAAGTAAATTTGTGTCAAAATAATTCATACATGTACAAATGATGATAATTATTAGTCATTTAGTACACGTGAGGATTACTAAATCATTTACAGATAACATTAAGAGGAAGGTCAATTTAAATGTTTGTTGTGTTCAAACGTCATTATAGTGGATATTTCATTGGCATTCATACCACGTCTCCTTGTTCTTATATTGAGTATATTAAAAGTAAGTTTTACGGTTCATTCTATCGGCATACTACTTGGCTTGGTATAAATCATGTTTTATCTTTACACACAAAATCTGGTGTTAGAGCGTGTAACGTGAGGGTACCCAAATTGCATCTATTTTTCACCTACGTTTTTTTATGATCCAAACAAAAGTTTCCATTTTGTGCTTATTTTGTAGACGTATCCTTATTTACTATATAGTTACACCAATTTAATTTTGAATCCATATTGAATCATAGAAAATGGGTTTGAACCGACCTCCAAACGATCCATGATTCTGTAATGAGGAGTACCCGAATTGCACCCATGCTTAAATTCACATCATAAAAAATCGAATAGCAGATGTTTTGTTTCATTTCTTCAAGTATTTAGAACAATTTGACATTAGTCCATGCTTACTGTTATTTTTTTAAGAAATGGATGCTTGTAACATATTTAAAAAAAACGACTTTTTCCATGCGACGTTTCCGTAGATTTTACCTTTTCCAGTGAATGATTCATATGTTGATATATACTGTGAACGTTTTGTGTATATTTAAATATATTAACCTATGTTGAAAGACGTGTATAATGTCAAATCATAAAAATACAAATTGTTTAGTCTCAAAGAAAACTTGTAAGATTTCCGCAGCTATTTTTGTTGAATAGGTGCAATTTAGGTACTCGGTGCAATTTGAGACTGTGACGTTACAGTAGTAAACTGGGGTGTCCAAATCAAATATCAGCTGAGAAGTCGGCTATTTCTTATGTCTATATTTCTATTCTATTTCTATCTAAAAATATTTTTGTTCATATCATTACAGAAAAGCAGCATACAAATGACGTAATGATGACATTTTTATATGCGGGTTCTGATCATTTGCGTTTTTTTGTTGGAGCGTGACACGCCTGAAAAACATTTGTCGCCAAATAGTAAAAATTTCCGACCACTTAAACTCTGTGTATATACGACTATTTATAAATTATAAGTAAAGCCATGGTTGTCTTTGTTAGGTTTCCTGTGTCAACATGAAGAGAAGATTAGTTCTTGCATTTTCCCAGCTGCTTTTTTTCTTTTATTTCGTGTCACATTTGTTCCTCATATGTTATATAATATGAACTTGTTTTGCATCTACTAGTAGGACATATTGTCAACAGTAATTTGTTTCAACGATCTAAATGCTTTGCATGTACTAGTAGGACATATTGTCCACAGTCATTTGTTTCAACAATTTAAAACACGAAATTTCTGAATAATTGCATATTTGCCATCTTTATCATACGTCGGTTTTCAGAATGATATTCCGCTGACGTTACTTCCTAACAGGAAAAAGACTTTGATATCAAAATACATCAAGTTTTGAAGAACTATCAATATAAACAATTTTATCTCATTTCAGAGAATTCCGGGTAAAAAAACTAAGGTATGGAGCATTCTGGATGAATCTACTCTTTCTTTCTTCAGAGAAAACAAGGTAATTTGTTTCTGTAATCTAGCTTGTGATTATTGATTAAACCTATAATTTGATATAATAGTGAAATTTGGTTTGTGAAAGAATATTATTCCATTGTTAGAGTCACAAACAGAGCTAGAATGCATGGAACTTACTGTGATATTTTATCCTTGATAGATAGATTCAGCTTTGCGAAAGTGCATTAAAAATTTTGTAAAACTGTTCTTGGAATTAAAAAAAAACTCGTGTAATAAAGCTGTAAAGTCTGAATTGGGACAGTTCCACTTGACTTTTTTTTTTATAAAAACTCAAGTTTTATTATATTTATGTAGAATTATCTGTCAGGAAATGAACCCTCTTGTTAACCAAGCTTTCAAAGTCTATAGTCTATGTCTGACGATGGAGTATATACACTTGGTATACTTTTGCAAAGCACATTTTTTGCAGAATTTAATATTAATGAAGAAGAATATGTTGATTTTGATAAACCTTTTAAACTAATAAAAGATTCACTTAAAAAACAATAAAACATTTTGTTAAAGAAAAGTATGATTAAACCACTTTTGAAAACTTTCACATATAGATTATACTTCAAAACTTTACCTTTATAGTAGACTTAAAAATGAAACGAAATTGGAAGACTACTTGCACAAGCTAACAAAATTTGATAGTCGTCAACTTTTAACAAAATTCCGTATAAGTGACCATAACTTGGAAATTGAAATAGGCCGATACAAGAAATTCTAAGAGAACAAAGATTGCATGTGTAAAGTTTGTAAAATTTATATGACAAGAAACACTTTTTCCTTCATTTTTTTCCAAATCAGTAAAAATATTATAAATCCCCCTTATAAATGCAATTAAAAGCCCTTATCCTAATTTTAACCAGCTTGACTCAAACTCTAAACTTAAAACTATTTCAGATCCCAATGAAGATATTTTGTCTAATGTTGTGGGATTTATAAAGCAGTCCACGGAGTTGCGAAAATGAGGTCCACATTGTTCAATTATCTATATACTATTAACTTGAATCGTTTAGAACTTTATTCATGTGTTTTATTTTTCTTATGTGTATGTAATGTTTGCATTGTGACCCGTCAGGGTTTTACTTTTTGCAATAAATTACTTTGAAAAGTGCTCCGCGGTTTTAACTATGGTGGTACATTACTCTGTCTTTATAAAAGAGTTTAACTATGCAATACGAAGATTTCAATACATAAAAAAGAAGGCCCCGAGAGTTCATCGTTCAGCGTCTTCATGTATGATCATGTATAAAGCAAAACAATATTGCAATTAATAACATAGTTTCCATAAATATAACTGGCAATTCTTTTTACAAACATATGAACGTACAAGCCACGTGATTGTAACTAATGATACCGACCATCTTTACCCACACCGAACTTCCTAGGGACGGTATTTTTATTCTTCTTGTAAAAATTCCAACAATTTTAAAAATTCATTTCCACGTTAAAAAAAGTGGCGGAAATATCAAAGGAAGAATCAAAACTCAAAAGTCGATTGATTGTTGGTGTTTTTAACGCCATTTTTAAGTGCCTCATTTGGACTATTTCGTGGCGGCCAGTTTTTATTGGTGGAGGAAGCCGGAGTGCCCGGAGAAAACCACCGACATTCGATAGGAAAACTGACAATCCTAGTCAATTAACATTGGAGTCGAGTGCACCCGCACGAGCGGGGTTCGAACTCACAACCTCAGTGTTGACTGGCTAGTGATTACAGTAGTAAAACTACTTAGACCACTTGGCCACCGAAGCCCCCCCTCAAAAGTCGAAGACAAACAAATAAAATCGTGGCAAAATAACGAAAAACGTCGAAAAGATAGACTGAATAATAAAATTTCATTTCTTTTTAGAGATCCTCCTGTATAGGTTCTATAGACCTTTCAGATATACAACTAGTCAGAATAACCAGTAACTGCCAGTTTGAAATTAAAACAGAAAAGAATTCACAAGTATATGTAAGTAACATGTGCATGTAGTTGTCTTCTTCGTTTTATTATGTTGTTTGGTTGTTTGTCTTCTTTGTTTTAATGTGTTGTTTGGTTGTTTGTCTTCTTCGTTTTATTGTGTTGTTTGGTTGTTTGTCTTCATTGTTTTATTGTGTTGTTTGGTTGTTTGTCTTCTTAGTTTTATTGTGTTGTTTGGTAAATTTAAAATTGAAATAACATAAGATTTGAAAACTGCTTTGTAACACAATGTGACATAAAACTGTGATAATCACCACGATTGCTCAACCGAATTGACGGTTTCTGGGGAAATTGTTTTAAAAGTTGCTGGTCTTGGTAAGCGCCGGTTAAAAAAATGACTCTTATAAACGGGATGGAGATGTTTTCAGATTTTAAAAAATTTCATTTCGTAAGGAAGAATCAGTCATGTTAATGACAACAGGAGCGTTTTTTATTGGTCTCTTCTGTACATCTCCAGAATATCTTATGGTGAAGAGTCCAAAAAAATGAATCTGGACCTCTTCTGGAGATATTTTAAAGAAAGAAGGTGCAATAAAAATAAGTATATTTGGTGTCGAATATTGTAGATCTTTTTTTATGAAAAAAATGGATGACATAACTGAATTTCACGATTATTTATTAGAAATTTAGTTACGTCAGCTCATTCGAAAGATATGCATGTAATATTGTGCTCTCTTGTGACATTGATATTAATATATATATTTATAAGTATAAAAACAAGGAACTAATTGATTGGAATAAATCGCTGTCTTCATGGCATTTTTTCTGTATGCTTTCCTAACTTAATTTAGCTAAGCAAATCCTGATTAAAGCTCCGACCATTTGATTTTCAGAAATAATCTTAAACTGTACAAGAATTTGCCAATATTTGTCTGGTATATGATTGAAAAAGACATCTTGTATATCTATCAAAATATTTCAAAGTAACCAAACTGGATTATTTTTGTACATAAAAAAAGATAGAAATATATATGTACTAGTATACAAGGTATTCAAGGTCTTACGTTTTTCAGACTGTCTTTACTCTAAATCCGTTGGATGTGGACACTTAAGTCTGGGAGAACATGATTTATTTATGAGTTGTTTTCATTTACTGCATGCGAGTACTCTTATTTCTGTGCTTTGTGCTTTGTGTTTTGTGTTTTTATGTTAATTATTTTTGTGTCTCGTACCGATCTTTAGAGTCAAGCCAATTGCAACTGATTTTTACAGTTTGTTCTTATGTTGTGCTGTTACACCACTGTCCCAGGTTTAAGGGATGGGGGAGGGGGTTAAGCGCTCACAAACATGTTAAATGCCGCCACATTCTTTATGTACTTGTTCCAAGTCAGGAGCCTGTAGTTTAGTGTTTGTCGTTGGGGTTTATGTCTGTCATATACTAGTATTTGTTTTTCGTAAATTGTTTTATTATAAATTATGCCGTTAGGTTTCACGTTTGAATTGATTTTATTTTAACATTTTTCATGTCGGAGCAATTTCATGATAGCCGACTATACGTATACGGTATGAATTTTTCTCATTTTAAACCATACGGTTGCCTTTAATTGCTTACATCCACTTCATTTGAACTCTGGTGGATAGTTGTCTTTTTGGCAATCATACCACAAGTTCTTATTTTTTTATTATTTATCCGAGTTTTAAAATTGTGCCGTCCTGAACATGCATGAAAAATTTGCTACTGGGCGTTTAAAAATAATCAACAGCCAATCAATTTAAACTCGTGTAAAATAAGGGGACAATCATTTGATTTTTATAATATTTTTTTAAGGGGGATAGTGGTACAGGACTGAGGATTTTGAATATGAATATGCTGGCCTGGTAAGAACTGGGAAAATAAGCATGCATAGCGACAGATTGAAATGAATAAATAAAATCCAAAAAAATGAATAAATAAAATCCAAAAAAATCCTCCTGTCCCCTCCCCTCCCCAAAATATCAAATGGTCGTCCCGTTACTGTTATTGTCCGGCTAGTTCTATAATAAGAAAACAACAATTTTTTTTCCCATTTTCATGGGATATTTTCAGTTTTTTTCAGTTGGAATATCCGATGGCGGTGGAAAGTGTAAAAAATAGACAAGAAATTTGTGATTATATTTTCTGTCAAGCAGGCGTTATAACTCATGTCTTAGAAATATAACAGTATTACATGCAAATATTTATCTTCATCCAGCTTATCGTCCTTACAGGAATGTACTACAAAGGCTGCCATACCATAAAAACGTTTATCACACAGCTCACATTCACCTATGTCTGCATTTATAAACGTATTGATATCATTTAGACTAAACGACGCCATGTTTGTTATGTACCTCTGCCGTCTAAACCACCTATTTAAAAGGAAGAGGTAAAAGACAACCAATGCAAAAAAAAAACAGAAATGGACGTCTTCTGGCTCACTACCGAAGAAGAAAAAAAACACCCCAGGAGACACTGGGGATTTTAATGTTATTTTCTGGTTATGCAAACATGATAATATGCATAAATGAAATTTATGAGTTACATTTGTGTACCAGAATAAAACTAACAATCGATTTGAACTGTCATGTCATACATGTAAATCACATTTGTTCATTGTTTAGAAACTTGTCATGAGGAAGTTGATGTAATGTCAGGGTAGTTTTTTTTTAAACACATTCCATTAAGAACATTTGCAGTACTGATAAACAAAAAATCTAGTTTATATATTTAAACAATTTATGAATTGCATGCAACTTGTTTAAATATCATGATCGTTTACCTTTAACAATTTGAAGGCCTTTTCATGCATGTCATATAGTACCTTGTAACATCGCAGTAAGTATTGTCGTGAATAATTAATGTTCACTTATGCAGTGAGTGAAAAAATTCTCTACTTTATATTAAAGTATATGTAAAAAAATCAATGCCTGTGGAGTGAGACGATAAACTTGTTTATTTCTATACGATTGCGGTCGTATGATGGTATGACGTTGACGTCGTATGCGTCGTCGTCGTCCGAAGACATTTGGTTTCCAGACAATAAATTGTGTATAAGCGTATGGATCTCTATGAAATTGTACCACAAGAGTCTATACATCAAAAGGAAGGGTGGGATTGATTTTAGGGGCTATGGCCGTTTAGGAATTAGGGGCAAAAACAAGGATTTTCTTGTTTCCGGACAATAACTTGAGTATAAGTCTATGGATCTCTATGAAATTGTACCACAAGGTTCCTTACCAAAAAAGGGAGGTTGGGATTGATTTAGGGGTTATGGCCCTAACCGTTAAGGAAAAAGGGCTAAACTAATATTTTCTAATACTTTGTATAAATTGATCATTTTTGGCCCCGTTTTTAAATTGTTCCACATTGAGGTCAAAAGGGTCCAAAATTAAATTTTTAAGTTCTCAGACCACATTCATTCTGTGTTAGAAACCTATGCTGTGTCAAATATTTAATCACAATCCAAATTCAGAACTGTATCAAGCTCGAATGTTGTGTCCATACCTGCCCCAACTACATGTCCAGGGTTCGAACTCTGCGGTCGTATCAAGCTGTGCCCTGAGCATTTTATTTTATTTATTTATATTAAAGGAATATAGTGCAACAAGAAACTTTAATTTTACAAATTATATTTTGCGTGATTTTCTACTCTTCGCCGCGGGGTTGATAACACTCCCACTCCTCCAAAACACCTAAAACGACACAGAATTGGGATGTCCTGGTATAAAAGTAACACGTTATTTGACTTTATTTATAAATCTTTTTTCTGATTAGGGAATTTGGAAGATTGTCGATAGTTCATTAAGAACCATGTTGTAGGCAAAGCATAACAAACAAATAACTATGTAGGAAATAGCGCTAAGCGGCCACAAGACATGATTAATCGCAGAATGCTGTAATTGATTTAAATGACAAGTCAATGTGCCCGATTGGTGACAATAGATGCTCAAGTTCTTCAAAGTTTATCCGAGAACGAGGCCCATGATCTCCATTTTCTGTTTAGTCGGCCTCAAGTGAAAAATGAATAAAACAGCAGCAGACAATTGAAATTATTGGTAGGTTGTTAGGGGAGGTGAGAGGGTCTTTGAAACTTTCAACTAACCTACACGTATGGCAAGTTCGACGCAAGTGTAGAGTGTCACGTGGTATTAGCGACCGGGAATCCGAATGAATAGATCAAATCTCTTTCATTAAATTGGTTTATCTTATAAATGCGAAAATGAGATAAACCGTATTAAATTTATTGGCAATTTTATATAATTGGACCGATTTAGAGCTTCACATATTGTTGAACAAAGGCACTGAACAGTAGTATACCGCTGTTCAATAGTCATTAATCGATTAAGCGAGAACAAATCCGGGTCACAAACCAAAACCGAAGGAAATACATTAACTATAACAGGAAAACAACGGAACAACAGAAACACTGAACTGCAACAAAAACAAACGCCAACATACATAGAAACGGACTATTTGATAACAACTGCCATATTCCTGACTTGGTACAGGACATTTTAATAAAAAATGGTGGGTTGAACCTGGTTTCAATTTGTCTTTTGTTTTTATTTCGTTGTAGGTTTTCGTCTCAATAACCTATAATTTTATATTTGACATCAGTTTGCTCTAATTATCGATGTGACAATTGATGTTTGATATTACAAGGAAGTATATCATACGTTCATGATTTTAATAGAATTCATTTTACTATGAGTTAGTTTTACGGAAACCGACATTTTACACAGTATACGTGCCAAAAAAATCAATTGTATTCTATTTTTCTATTAAATGTAAGTAATATTATTCTTCGTTTTACCGACAAGGAAGAATTTACTACCATTGACTGAAAACCATGTATATACATTACATTTAATGAGAAAAAAAATCTTTGCATGAACGTCTTGCCTAGCTGTGAAGACGGACGTATTTAGTTTCAGAAAAAAATTGTAATTTTGTATAAATCATTTATTTTCGTTACTTGTCCCGTTTGAACGTAAATAAAGTGCTATTTAGGGATAAACACATGTAGATTAAATGTTGCTTTTTTTTCTTGACCAACAATCTTGGATTGATCATTGGAGTATTATATTTTACTTCCATGGTTTGATGATTTAAGTTAACTCTTTATCAAGTTAACGTCTTTCATAATCAAGGAAGCAGCATTGGAATACTTTTTTTAAAGAAGAACTTGTTGACGCGAGACGGGGGGATAATAAATGAATCAGTGAGCGATATAGAAGTGCATTATAAATGTAACTTGGTTTTTGTTTTGTTTTAAACTTTATATTACTAAGACTGCAGACCCTTCTGGCAAACTTGAATTGTTTATATATATATGTTCGATTGTTTCTATTTAGACCTTTTTTGGTTAACAGCCCCCAAAACTTTATATGTATTTGGTGTCCCAAACTTTCGCTGCCAAGCGTACAATTAAAACACGTTTTTGCTCGCTTAAATCGCTAAGAAAATAGTTTAATTCTTGTATGCTTAATATTCGTCAACTGTCACATATGACTGTTTTCTGAAGAATGAGATAAACACTATAAGGCTGAAAATATATATTTGAACAATGCCAATATTGTTTCAGACTGCAGAATCCAATGAGAAATGCAGTGAATGGGTGCAAAAATTGTCAGAATACTCAAAATGTACCACAACTAATAGTGAACCGACGAAGAAGTAAGTTTTGTGTGTCAGAAGAAATGTAGGTTAGACACAGGTGTAATAATTCACTTTAAAGCATTTACAATGAACAAGAAAAGAAAGGATGTACTGTCCAAACTCTGTTATATTAAGAATGTTCCGGATTTTTGTAAACAATATATATATATATATATAAAATTCTAAATTGAAAACAACGTTCAAACCTATGATTGCGTTGGATAAAAACCGCAATTTTTATACGTGTGCATGTAAAACAAATTTCTTGGTAGAGGGGTCTAAATACAGCACAAACAACAATTTCCAAAAGACCAAAAAAAGTGAAAAAGTCTATTTTAACAAAACGCATTTGACTAACAGGTCGAACAACTGATGTTCTCAAACCCTGCTGACTGCCATTGGCGATTGCCAAATAAATTGATCACCAGATCTAACAAAATAGATCTTATTACTAAATTATTACCAAACAGAAAACAATAAACTTGCGGAAAAGATGGTATACCGCAAATATGAGGTGCAAAAATTTGTACACCATATCCGGATTTCGACAATTAATGTCTCTTCAGTGATGTTAGGAATCGAAACAGTATTTGGAAGGCCTATATATACCTGAGGCAAAGGCATTATTTCCGTAGGAAATTAAATGAGGATTGCAACATTTTAGTTCAATAATGTTTTGAAACGTTTATATCAAGAAATTTCAAAAATAAAAGTCGTTTTAAAATAGTTGCACTTGCACTTTTCGAACAACGGTCAGTTGCTAAAGAGGAATGTTTTTTGTCATGAAATGCTTATTGTCGAAGTCATGTGGATCATCCTGTACGTTTTGCTGATCAATGTAAAGTTTGTCGTTATAGGTCATATTTCGCTAAACAAAACTTGGTGTCAAATTATGCCAAAATCTATAAAAAATGTTAAACACCTGTATATGGTGTTATTATAAGCAAAACCATCTTACTGGGACAAACATACCAGGAGAAATCTAGTGTCCGTATTTGCAAAATGCTAGACAAACTACATTTTTCAAATATTTAAAATAATTATATTAATAAAGAGCTGAACTTCCAGTTGAACAAGTTTCGAATAAAGTTCGAGTTAATCGTCGAATAAAAGTTCATGTTTTATTCATGTTTTGTTCCAGCACACCAAGAAAGAATTCCATATTTAGCCATAGGGAAGAAATAGGCGAGCATACAGTGGTGGTCAATGCAGCTAAAAATATTTTTGAAAATAATACAAACGGGACTGAAAATAGGAGAGTTGTCTCGGGCGTTCTGTCTAAACCTTCCCAAGAACCATCGAAACCAACCAGAAAGTCAGATCCAACTAAACTCCATCCATGGTCTACTATAACGGAAGCAAAAACGCACCTGCATCATGTTAGTATTGAACTAGATACTGAAAAGAAAACTGATTCTTTGTCAAAGAAACATGAGAATTTGAAAAATTCTCTAGAAATTAAAACGAAGATTACCACAGATTCAAAGCCGTATGAAAGTGTACAAAACAGTAGTGGTCATAATTTAACAGACACCAAGTTTGGCAGTTTGGAACCCGAGGCGAAAGGGACACCTTCGCCGAAATCTTTGATGGATAGCGTTGATGGTAAAATAACAACAGACATTACTGAAGAAAATAATGAAAATATTTTAGAAGAGAAAAGTACAAACGAAGATTCGACAAGTACTGTTTCAAAAATGCCAGAAATTGCGTCCGCAAGTGATAATCCGAGCGTTTTAAAAACTGAGAACTCCGAAAACAAACGGGATTCTGGTTACAGCACAACCGTTGGTGAGGGAGACCGAAATAGTCATGAAAACAAAGTCGACGAGACTGTTTCTTCTGAAACTAAACGAGAAACCGAACAAACCAAAAATGGCAATTCAACTGTCACTGTTGAAGAGACAAACAACAACCAAAATGATGTAAACACTTCTGATAAAACGAAGGAGCATCAAGATGGTGATGAAGAACCAATAGAGACTAGGGTTATCATGCGCAAGTCTAGGTCGGTTGTTAGTGTCAGTCATGATGACATTATTTCCGTTGTCGATATTGATAATCAAGAATGTAAAAGTCAAGGTAGAGGAAGAACTTGTAAAACAACACAAGAGCAAAATCCTAGCGAAAATATTGACATGAAATACAAACCGTCCATAGATACTGTCGAAAATTCTAAAACCAACACTAATACCAATACACTGCCGAACTTTCAGAACAAGAAGGAAGTAAGCGAGATGAACAGTGCAAGTGAAGACGCCGTGGATGGAGCAATTGGATGCACAGTTGAACCTGTTCCTTTGCGACATGAAATCGTCGAAAATTACATAGATATTGATAAAATAATTTGTCAGGGAAATTTTCCAAATGTTCCAGTTTTGCCCAATAATGCTCCAAATAGACATGATCTTGTGTCTTTTCACGAACTTAAAGATTTATTGGAAAGTCACGACGAATCCAGTGATGAACATTCGGATATCGATGATTCCATAACTAATGCCGAGGATCCTATTCAAAGACTCTTACGAATGGTTGAGGTCTGACGGGTTTATGTTAGACGGGAGACTTCAGTTGAATGCTCTTAGCATGGTGGTCTCATATTTGGGTGCTTTTTTTTTAAATGCAAGCAATATAAAGAACTGTTCATTTACATTTCAAGACATGAAAAAAAACTGCAATTTTCTTTATTCTAACTTTTATTTGATATTTCAAGTTGTTCATTATATGTTGATAGCAATACCAGTATATAGTCTCTTAGTTTATATATGGACATGTCAATCTGAAAAAGAGACGTTCGAAAAAGCAAACTGAACGTTACTCTGTTTACGTATCTTTGTAATGTTTGATAGTAATGGATGTCTTTCTCTTACTATATATGTATATAATAAAAACATCAGCAAGATAGTTGTATGTTACGCTGTTAGTCAGGAAATTACTGCTCACTAGTACGCATGCAGTTTCAAAACTTGAACAATTATGAATGTGCAACAGTTTGCATTTACTAAAATTTTAACAATGCCAAGGCCAAGTATATCTGTCATTTCTTTATTTTGTAAAGCCTGGCAGTGTTTCTGCTTAGTGCTGCTTATAGTTCTCAAATTATCATTTATAAACTTGTCCGTCCATCTTAGTGAAATCAGTAAATTTCCGTAAACAAGAACATTTTGCAAGAGTTTACAGTTCCATAAGAGTAGTTATTCTATCTTATGCCTGTTCATGAATTCTAGGCATTTTTTTTTTTATTGTTGTAAATAAAATTCATCCATTGAGGTATGACTCGTAACCGCTTCTGCAGAACAGACAACAAAATGAAACTGAATTGGTAAACGAACAAGCAAACAAATAATTCAAGTTTTACAATTTGTGTACAGCACCGTATAAACGGTTAAAAAGTAAGACAACAAAAATACCGAACTCCAAGGAAAATTCAAAATGGAAAGTCCCTTAACAATTAAAGATATTGTAGATTATGGATATACATGTAATTATATGATCAAGTTTTGAGATATTTTGATTTTCTGCTTATTGTACCATTTTAACAACCAATCATATAGTATACTTTTTTGTCATGGTTATATGAATGTACATATTCTCTGTATAACATATTCCAACCAATAATAAAATATAGTATATATAAACCAATAAATTATTAGACTATTTATCCGACTTGAGATCTTAGTTGAATCGAACCCATGTGATGCAGCAATTATAGATACCTAGACGCTAAAGAGGAATATACAATCTCCCTGCATTGTCTTTATTCACACGGTCAAATTCTAAGAGTTCTCAAATCCTACTGGAAATGGAATATCAAACCGTCTATATCATTAATAATTAAAGTTGTTTCACAATTTATACATTTCCATAAAAAATACAGTGGTGCAGCCCTACTTGTTACTGTTGAATGTACTTTGGTACACACTTGCAAATTGTTTTTGTCAAAGTTTGCACCGATAAACAAATCTAATCAAAAAGAATTAATTTGTATCCAAAAGACAAAACATAGTTTTACTTTCAATATAATTTTGGAGTCGATTAAAGATATCTTTGGAATGCATACTTCAAATTCGCCAAAATCTCTCAGGATTGCTGTTTTGGAATATTTTTGGGCGATTATAATTTCATCACCTATTTAGAAATAAGCCATACTATTGTTAGAACCTTAATAAACATACATTGGGTTGTCATACTATGAATTTAAGTAAAGATTGAGAGACTTTTTGAAAATGGCCCTGGTGTGAAATAAATTCAGAGAAATTGGCCCGACTCCTTTAATTGCAAATTGAAACTTTTCGACGATCCGATCAAAAAGGAGTTGACCATGTAAAGATGAAAAGCAATAATAGAAGCTAGTTTTCTTTAGGTCAGTTAATTGAAAATATACACACCGTAAGAAGGGCCAAAGGAACACCTCGGTCCATAAAAGGAAAACTTACAATAGAGAACGAAAAATCGTCTTTTTGACGTAAAGGTTTGTTTTAGATTTTGATGCATCCAAATCTAGAAAAAGGACAATTATTACTGTTTTAAAATGTCAGATTTATTTAAAGGAAATCTTAGCAGCATAATAAGAGTTTTCTTGATTATACAAAGAAAAAACACCATCAAGGTAACGTTGAGTGTTATTAAATTGATCAATTAAATGGAATTAAGACGGATCTTTACTCAGTTTGACTGAGAATCGACCAATTTTGAAATTCCCTATCAATATTGCACAGTATTTACCATAATACACAATCTTGTCGTATGACTAAGTAATGCTATTGTAAATAGTGGTGCTTTGCGGAATTGTAATGTGGCTACTGTCACTATTCTTCCGAACTATTCGATTGTATCATCATAGGTCTTGCTGTAAATAGCCACCACACACATGGTTACTATTTCTTAAGAGAACGAAATAGAGAAAAAATACAATCTAATACGGTTTACAATAAAACATGAAAATGAATTCACATATGGCAAAGTATTATTCAAGACAAAGATTTACATTTACTGTTGTCCCGGACATACGTGGAAGATACAATTCTACATCCCGGAAAAAAGCTCAAAACAATTATTTTACCAACAATGTATAAATAACTTTTATCTAACAAAATTATGTTCGAAAAAACACAATAGAAAAATACTGCAATTACATTTAAATTGATAACATCTACAATAAAATGAATCGCATTTAATCATTTATTTACATAAGAAAATCAAAGCACTACATTTTTCCAAGGACATAAACTGTTGTGTGAAATCTATTATCACCAGCCTTTCAAGGTAGTTTTTAAAAAAATCAAGTGGATGGACAAGTTAAACGAGCAACAAGTTAAGATCTCTTAGTGGACATATATACTGTTAACCTATTTAACAGTTTATTTGTCCATTAAGAAATCTTAACTTAGTGCTCGTTTAACTGGTCCACTTGATTTTTTTATGACCAGGCTATTATTTAAATATATACGAAATATGCTCAATGTCAAAGTAATTGCAAAAGTGTATGTCCTTGTAAAAATTGTACTGCTACGTTTTACTTTTGTAAATAAATGATTAAATGCTATTTATTTTATTGAAGAAGCGATATTTTTTTAATGTAGTTGCAGTAATGTTTTTATTGTTACTATACGTTTCATGTTATATGAGGTAGCAGTTTTTTAGCCCACTGCTTAACATTAAAATGAACTTTTGAGACATTTTTCGAAATTCTTAATTGTCCTTCAGACATTTTTTGTATTTTATAAAAGTTAGTAGATGTTCTCACTTGTTCCGTTGTTTTATGGACTACCCTTTTTTGAATTTGCCTTGCAGTTCGGTATTTTTGTTATATTTTTTTATATGTGAAGAATAAAATCAAGTCATGTTGTATAGACCGATCCGACTTTTCGTTCAATTTGGTGACATCGACATAACATCTATTAAATTTGTTTATGAACACGTCCACAAAATACATTTCCAATATCCTTACTACATGTAAACTGTGTATATGGTGTTTAACGTGTTCAATTTCATAACATGTTTAAATTGAAGAAAGTGTTTAGGATTGTGTTTTATGATCATGTTTAGGTTAGAAATTAGTGTTTAAGTCCTAAAAACTTTAAATTCTAAAACACATTTAAAAGTGTTTATATTCAAGACATTTGTACATTTAATGTGAATACTTAAAAATGTGTTAAGGTAATATGATAATTCTAAACACACGTTTTCAGGCATGTCAAATAGGTGATCGATGGAAAATAAAACTTACTTGAAGTAATCATCGGGAAAAGAAAAACGATTTCTAGTTAACAGCTACAAAATTATATTCTTACTTCTTGGTCTTTTAAATCTTCATGCATAATTCGATAAAATTGCAATACTATTGCATCAAATATAGATTTTCCAGATCAAAGAGTGCGAACAAAGCCTGTAAGTATAGATATTTTTTGTCTCGCCTCTACGAAGTAATGGAGGCGTGCTGTTTCCGGTGGCGTCGGCGGCGATAACATTTTTTTTTTAGATTTGTGATAAGGTAAGTTCTTTAAAAGGGGACCCTAACGATAAGTCATTGTATATTGGTATGCATTAGTATTAGCATTGGAATATTAATTTTTAATGGAGATTATACGGTATCGCCCCCTGAGCGATGGTTCATTGACTGCGAAAATTTTGCATCGCCTACAGTAAAAGTGTGATTAGTTCAGTTTATAAGGTGAACCATTAACAATAGGTCACTGATGTTTGGTATGCAGTTGCAACAGCATTATATCTCAATTCCATGGAAATTATTTTGCCCTGCAACTTCGTTCATGTTTCATTGACTTTGAATGTTTTGCATAGTCTTCATGATACAGTATTGTCATTTTAATTTCAACAGTTGCATTTAACTATTCAAATTACATTTAGACATGACAGATGATACATATATCTGTGTCAACACTTTATCATTCTAGACTGACACTAGCCAGATATATTTTTTTCAGAGGAAGTTTGAAGGTGGTAAATACTGTGTAATATGGTTGGAAAACCCAAAATTTATCGACGCGCGGGGTATATTGAACATCGCGCCTACTGCTTTAAAAGCGTATAATTGGTTTATTGTGTACTTACTTCATCTACAAACATTGTCGATGTTTCTATTTTGTTTGGTTGTGTAGTGCCATATTATCGTATTTTTTTCATATGAAGGTGAAGAATGAATGTAAGTCCGTTTGACTTCTATATACATGTATTTGCAGAAAAAAATTCTTAAAAATCTATTTTTTCAAATCATTATTGTTTTTTCTTGATGTATGTTAATATATGATATTTACGAACTCTGACTATTAATTTCATAAATTTTGGTCTATAATTAAAAAAGTTACCTTTTAGGTCTTGATGTTAATTTTATTTTCTTAGGTAGTAAATACTTATAGTGGAGTAACAAATCAAGTAAGAGGTGCCAATACCTTAATCTTACTTTTCTGCCCGGTCGTACCCATTTCCTACGGTGCAGTTTTTCATAAAATGGAAAGAAAAAGACGTTGATTTTTTCATTCAAAATGCAACTCGACAAAATATTTACTTTTGTTTCTTTTTCATTGTCCTCAAACTCTTGATTTGACATTTTATGAAAGTTTAAGTGCTAATTCATACGGTAAAACTATAATTCCTTCTTTTTAGCCATATTTTTTTTTTCGTTTTTACTCAGTTTTAAGAATATACACTCTGTTTTATTTCCACTGAGTGGTTACAACATTTGTAAATTTACATTTAATTTACATCGATATCTTCCATGTTTGTTGTGTTAAAAAGAAATAAAACTTCATTTGGTAAAGTTATAAGACCACTTCGGCTCCAGTTTTTCTAATAAATTCACGTTTTAGACATCAAATTCGGTGAATTTCCGGATTTATTTATTTTACCGATAAAAAGTATATTTACTTTTTTTATTGACGATTTGCCTCAGGACTGCATCATACCATCGTTCGTGTTTGTGTCAATTAAATATGTTAGGATTGATATTTTTGTATCATAGGTTTATTGAACAATGTTTTAACAAGTTTTTGACTGATAAATTTTGATCCAAAAAATATTTTATCGTGTTTTTTTCTAAAGGGAAAACGGTACTATTACATTTTCCCAGCATTAGGTTGGTCTTTTGTGTACCCAAGGCAGGTGAAGGAAGTCAACCTAGGAGCGCTGTGATTGGATGTAAGGGTACAATATATTTTTTTATTTATCTATGAATAACTGCAGTGTGTATATTTACAATATAAATTTTGAAACCCATTGAAATATTTTCTAGAGAATTATTCGAAAAGACTTCCAAAATTTTATAAATTTAATGCAAAATGACGGTGGGCATGGATAACATAAACAAGCTCCGTTGGAAGTTGGTCATGATACTATTTGGCTTCAATTTTTAAAACAGAGTAATAAAGTACTAACACCACACATAACTGTTTTGTCCAGGTTTTTATTATAAAAAGTGGTAAATTTAGAAAATGTTAGTAGTGTCGCCTATGGCAGAATAAATAGTACCGTTTTCCCTATACTGAAGATAGCAAGGGAAACCAAAATCAATCAGACTTCAGTTATATTACACTATTTTGAAGCTTTTGATTAATACATTTGAATTTTATCACCAAGAATAGAAATTTTTCACTGAGACAAATACTGTGCTGAGAAAAGTGCTGAGTCATCATAATAAGTCAAA